AAGACATTGAATTTCAAATGCAGTTCAAATGTTTTGTCGTCTATTATATCTTATTTGCTGTCTAAAAATGGTATTTAAACTCTCCTATTAGCTTCATGAATATTGTCAAGTATAGATGACATTGTAATTCTCATAATTTTAAATACTTTGTAATATCTAATCCTCTTCTGTATTTGGCAAGATATTCTTTCGATATTTATTTTCTTCAAAAAATTCATTCATGTACTTTCTATTTTTTAACTATTTTTTCTAGTTGCGGTTTTATTGCCTATTTGAAAAATTGAAGGATGATGATTAACGAGAAAATGAATGATTTAACTTGAATACAGACTATATTACTTTATGTAGATAGGATATTTTGGGTCAAGTTGCGCCATCACAGTTTTTGAGGGAGCACAGTTCGACGGAGTTATGAATTTTCGGATCGAAAAGTTGCAAACAAGGAGACAAAGAGAATACATGGAACAAACCTCAGCAAGTGTAGTTGTATATGATTTACGGTACTTTTATTTCTAATGTTTTTAAAAATAGGCGAGCAATAAAATGCATTGAGAAAGTAAGGGGGAAGGTTTATACGCAATCGACCTTGGGGGAATGGGCAATCCATATCTTTTGTATATAAACTTAGGTCGAAAACTAAACTCAATCATTCAGAATGAAAGACCAACCCCCTCAATTCCGCATTGGGTTTTAATGCCGTAGACCCGGTACCAGGGGATAGAGGGGTCGTGGCATTCTTCTCCATCCCCTTCCCCTCCCAATATTTTATGAAGGAGACCCGAATCTCTCTGTCTTCCAATATTTCACAGTAATTTACTTTAAAATAACTTACAAACAAGTTTAATAAACTATATCCAGGGTATAATTTATCCAATATATCCAGTTCCTATTGCCAACACTAAGTCCGTTTTTTTTTTCTTTTTTATTATACTTATTGTTTTCGTATTTTAGATTATTTCTTTAAACTTTTTTTTTTTTTTTTTCTTATGCCAGTCGTTGGTCATTTGGCCATTCGACATCTTGCTGCCCAGTATAATTTAGACTTTCTTATATGGAGGAAATAAGAAAAATACATTTCGGCAAAGTGGAAGGGAAGTGTTACGAGTGGTTGAAGGATAATCCGATTCCAGCTGAGCTGCCGAGAAGAGATGCAGTTGCCTGCTTCCGCCTGGCTACTGGTCACGACTATCTGCAGAGTCATCTCTACAAGATAGGCGTCGCTGAGGATCCTAGTTGTAAATTGTGTCATATAGGAACAATGGATGCAGACCATCTAGACGCATGTCCTGCCTTGAGGGACATAAGAGACAAAATATTTCCGAATATACATATACATACATACATATTTCTTTAAACTGAATTACTATTCTTACTTCATCTCTTTTCAGAAGTCGAAACGCAGAGGCGTAATCGTAAAATGGAGATTTCAAAAACTAGACACACGATAACATAAGAATAGACCCTTATGTCGAATAAATCCAAATAGGGTACAATAAATCGATATCCGAAATTTTAACATTAAATCGATAGTATTTTGAAAAACTCTATTTAGTGGAGCATAATAATAGACCCTCGTGATTGAAATGGACCTTGTTTCGAGAAAACAAAAATCGAAACTTTAACTTGAAATGGAAGAGGTTGAATTTTAATTGGAAAAGGTTTAATTTGAAATGGAAAACACTGAATTTTAATTGGAAAAAGTTTAATTTGATTTGGAAAAGATTGAATTTGACGTGGAAAAGGTTTAATATTTGACTTGGAAAAGGTTTAACTTGGAAATAATATACTGAATAAATTAAAAAAGTAAAAATAAATGGATATGCAACCACGTTATCACATAATTTTTATTTGTTTTTTCTAAAGCTATGCTTTCGATAACATAGCAAGTGGCCTTTATTTCGAGAAGAAAAAAAACCACTAAAATTTACAAAAATTTGAAATGGAAAAGGTTGAAAGATTGGCTTGGAAATGCTATATATTTGGGATACGAAGTTATTTATTCTGATATATCAGCCGTGGGTTGACTCTAAGGTAATCAATCCCAGGAAATCCTCTGGGGGTTCACCCAGCCTCTATAAAATTGGGTATCTAATCCTTCAATGGGTTGTGAGAAACCTTAATGACCTTGCTGGTCAAGAAATATTTCGTCCTAATCAATGGCTGAGAAACCCTTTACGGTTCGTAGATTAGTGTTTTTAACTACCTAATTATTTATAACCCAAAGATTGTCAAACTATAGTTATCAATTATTATCACACTTCGTAATTATTATCATTGTGAATGGAGAGATACCTCTCATCTCTGCATCTATTGGTTTCATATTTCCTAAAGTAGTTGGCATTGACCAAATAAAAAAAAAAAAAATCTTTTCTTTTCCCGAAATGGTATGTTAACAAAAAAAAAAATTTCTTTTCTACTAAATCGTTAATAATTCATGCACGATCTAGACATGCTATGGAGTCGTGTATCTCTCTTTTGTAATCTATTGTGAAAAAAAAAAAATGTTGCACAGTTTAGAAAAATACATCATTAACAATGTTGATTAATCGCAGATATGTTCTATTTTTAGAGCAGTTATGTTTTGTTTTTTTTAGTTCTAAATGAAAGACATATGTTATTGTGTAGTCGTATTTAAATGTTTCGTAACTTTACTGCAATGTCCTGTGTATCTGACTAGTTTTCCCTCCTTACTGTTCCTAGAATTTTTTGACTGTTGCTTTTTCACTACAAAGCCATTACTTCAGAGAACAGAAAACAATCTAACTGGAATGAATTAGTAGTTACCGCTATGGTGTAATAATAGATAATTTTTATGCTTAGTCACAACCATCTGTGTTATTTCAGAATCAAGCATGCATGACCTGTTTACATACCATCTATTCGATGACGTAGTACTCCTGAAAACACATATTTTTTTAGTGAAAAATAGATTATCTTTCTCTATTTAGAAGAGTTGTGTTTCATTATTACTTTAGTTTATTATATATTCCCTATTTATTTATCATAAATTCAATATTTTTTTTTTTTTATGTTTACTTTATTTATGTCTTGTGTTAGAATCCATGAACACACACACTTCACAGGGATCCTTCAACCCCAAAACCAGATGATATCGTTGAACCAATGTTGATTCAATCGCTTACCTAATGAATGCGCTGGACTCCCATCGTTCAGTTTAGGAACTGTTTGGTTGATTTCTGATGCCATCAATAAGTTCAGCGCTTTAAGAACTTGCCCTTTCTTAATGACATTATCTTCTAAGATAGCTGACTTTTTTGTTCTTTTGTTTCCCTGTTAATTTTAAATATTTTTAGTATTAATAAGCTTATTCGACTGATCCTTTCTTGATACTGCAGCGGTATTTCACACCGATGATGTATGAAAATAACACATTTTATCGACATAAGTTATTGTTGTTGTTTTTTGTTGATATATTAATTACTGGATCCCATCGCATTTAGAAAGAAATTAAGATGTGTGCTTAAGACCACACAATAAAAGTGAAAACATCAACAATTCGGAATTAATAGTATGAAATATAAATATTCATTTGTTTTCTATATTCACAAAGTAATAACATTTGCAATATATATATATATATATATATATATAATTATGGTCGTGTACAAATTTTGTTCTACGTTCATAAATTAATAACATTTTTAATATTTACAATTATAATTGCGTTTAAATTACTGTGGTTAACTTTGCTTCGACTGCTACTAAGTCAATATCATACTCTAAAAATGAAACAATTGATTTATGATAACTGAGGTACGTGATGATCATATATTCCCATAATCTTTAAAGTTGGAAAAACAACTCAACCACTGTCTCGCTCTATCGTCTATCCAGGTGTTAAGCTTGGTCGGCATATGAAACTGTCTACTCACATTTAGAATAAAATGAAATCTGTAAGACTGAAAACATATAGACTCCATTATCTTTTAACTTCCCCAACACCACCACTGAGACTTAAATTGCCAATATATAAAAGCATTTTACGACCTGCCTTGATGTACGGCGCACCACTTTTCACACATCTTACTGACGACACACTAAAACACATCCAACGATACCAAATAATGTATTAAGAAAAATGATTCGGTCCACTCCATTATAAAAATTAAAGACAGATCAGCTGTACGAAATCTTTGAACTTCTCACGGTTGAACAGTTAATTCTAAAACGTCGTGTAAAATTTATGGACTCATTGAAAGCATTTCCAAATCCTCTTTTCAATACGCTAACTCCAGCACCGGCTCCAGTTCGGTGGCAAAGCTCAGTCTTCTTTCAATCTTAGGTTGTAAGTTAGTTATTAAGTATCAATAAGACACTTATAAACACAAAAATGGGTGAGCCCCATCACCCTTACTGATACATTTAATAATTATTGTTACAACAAAACATAATCACAATTTCAATAATGCCTTAAACTGTAACACATTTACAGTAAGTAAAAGGCGTTCAAAACAAAAATAAATTGTTCAAAGTATTATATTATGGGGGTTAAGAAAAAAAATATATTTTATTAAGATTTGTCATATTTAGTTAGAGATTTGTTTTTAACACTATATTTTTCCTTTTTGCTTCTCTGGCGGGGCTCTCCTCAAAATACAATTTTGAATAATAGCCCATCACAGAGAGGATGAAATGCTGAACAATTCCCTCGCTAACGGTATGCAGGTTCGATTTTTAGTTTTTGAGATATTTTAATCCATATCCAAAACAATTCAGTTTGTCGATTCCTGCCGACTTTACTCTGAGCGTTACACATCGGATGTGTGACAGCTCAATCTAATTCACTCTCCACAAAAAGGGCAAAAAGCGCCTAAGTATTTTCACTTGAAAAACATTGCAATAGAGAACAATGTTGTACTGTCGAAAAAAAAAATGCAACTTGCACGTGCCCCGGTCTCGTTTTTCCGAACCCTGCAGTTCTATTTAAGTGCACTCAATGCTACACACCTATTTGCGGCGCCTCTATTTTGATCCCAGTAATGAGAGATGTGACGTGGGAAAGAATCTGCACTTCGGGCGTTCCTTCCCGTGGTAATTCCATTTCTGCGTAACCAGGTTAATGGTAGGGGGTGGAAGGAGGAGGGAGGCAGAGAATAGAGTACCTTTCGAAATTGTTGTTCTTGGAACGCGTTTCCTTTTCTGCCACAGTGCAATGGGGGAGAACATTTAAAATGCATTGTTTGCTTCCAAACAGATTTTACTTTTTGTCTTCTATGTTTCGTTTATAAAACTGTTACTAAAAGTTGATATTAGGATGGTTAATTAGTGTCTTTAAATATGCTACAACCCATAAATCAATAACCAAAAAAATATTATCAAGCCCCATCGGGAGCTAGACTGAAGTTGCGTTATGTAATCAATACTTCGCCAAATGAATGTTTGTCCGGTTGCTGTAGTTACTGTTCTATTTTATTTCGGAATAAACTTATAGGCCATTTTAAAGTTATTATCATTGTCTTCGTGATCGTTTGGAATGGAATCAACCTCTTTTATCAAGGATGAAAGGGATAATTGGCTGGCCTTCGCTATATTCAGTACTAAAAGTGGAGCCGGAATAAAAACGTCTATTTGATCAATCTCACTAATAGTTTATGAATTTCTAAAGATCTTTTTTGTAGATCTCGACTAAGTATGATGATTCTTACATAATTTTTATCTATCTGTACATTTTTAATTATTGTTGATATAACGTAATTCAATATTAAATGTAGATTGTATGATACATGCATATAAAATACTGCATTATATGTGGCATGCAGTAGATAAACGAGTTTCTCTTAACAGCTACTGTGTAAAAGAGATATTTTTTTATTTTATTCGGTAATATAACATTCTGTCAAATGCAGACTGGTCATAATGAGAAAAGATTAACACCATAAAATAAATTTGTGATAATAATTTTTTTTTTACTGAACGTCTCAATAAATATATTATGGAAGTATTTTTAATTTTATTAGTACTAGAAAAGTCTGCGGCGTGAATGATGAGTGAGGAAAAAAATTTGTATCTGTTGATACTTTTTTATTTCAGAAAAATAATTGTATTTTTGGTTTTGGTTTCGGAAGCAGATTCATGTTCACAACTCTATTACTATTACGATTATTTTTTTTCGTAAATTGTTTTCTTTTTCTTTTTAAAGTTAGTTTGATTCTGAATTTTATATTCTTTTTACATAGGTTATAAATAATTTACAAAATAATATTTATTTACATATATATATATATATATATATATATATATATATATATATATATATTGATTTATGTATTTTACAGTATGAAGAAGTTAATGCCAGAGTGCTGAAAGCTTATTATATATAGATAAATAGTTTATTATATACAAGTAAAATATTTTCATCAATCTTGACAAAAATGCAGAAATACAATTAACAAACAAATTAGTTGGCTTACTTTTAACTTATGACTGTTGTTTTTCAACTTATTATCGATTTCTAAAATTGTATTTATTTGCTTAAACAAGAAAAGTAAGGTATTGGTAATACGAACCGAAAATAAAATTTACTTCAAGATTACCTTTAATCCTTAAAATTACCTCATACCAACATTCAATTAATTTACCGCACATCCAATCGGGGTTCTAAGCCGGATGTGTAAGTCAATTAATTTTCTTTTTGAGAGAAAAAAAAGTTCTCATTAGAACTATATATTTCGTATGTCTTTTGATCTGTAACTGAAGAGATATTTTTTATTAGAAATGTATTTAGTGAAAGAAATATCTGTTGTTGGGTATTTCTATTTGTATCCTTCATCTAGACCTAATTCTCATATCGCTTTTCGATATATTGATAAGACCTTGAGATATATATAGAAAATAAGTCCATTTTTTAAAAACAATTTCGATCGTGAGAAGAAAAAAAATCAAATCAGGTTATCACAAATTGAAGCTGAAATAAATGAAAATTTGTTTTTTCTTTTCAAAATACATCCTTCGAATTGAAAACCTTTTTATGAACATCTGATTAAAAAAACATATCTCGAAGTTGGCAGCGGTATTAACCGAATGTGCTATTTTCGAGATCGCCTATTGTCCCTTCATACATTCTTCTTGACAAATTTTTTTTTTTTACTTGCGAAATATCTGTAGTAGTTAATAAAAGGAACCTGGATGGGTTTACATATTTTTAGGTGCCTTATGGAATCGGTTCAAGATTTAAGTCTTAAAATATTTTGAAAGAATACACCAGAGATACGTTATGCTCATTCTTAGTGGTTACATCCTTTAAGCAGTTATCAGGTGTTTACTCATTTACTGAGGGAGAAAATCGATGACCTGCACAACCATTTGTTAAGGTTTCATTCCATTTTACTTAACAAAGGTCAATAGCCTATATTAGACGCCATAGCCAAGGCCCTGATTCAATTAAAGCGATATCATGATTTAACCTTCACCTGACATGCCTCTTCCATGATATTTTATTTTAATAAATTTATCATGACATCGATAAATTTAATAAAAAAATCAAAGTTTTTAACAAGATTTGTATAACTATTGAAGGACTTACTTCAAAGTGCCAAACCTTTAAAATATGATAAATAATTTTTTGGCCTCTCCCCCTTCATTTAGCAATTTTAAAGGTTAAATACCGTACTACTTACGGGGCATTATTATTATAAAAACATAATTTAATTTAATCAGGACTCTAATACTAATTTTATTATAATGAAGAGAAGGATGGTTGGTGTGATCAGTCAGAAATAAAAAAGGCAAGAATAAATAATAATATTTATTTTAACATTTGCCGACGTTTCTACCTGAAGTTCAGGCCTTCATCGGGGCTAAGAAACGAACCAGATAACAAGGTATGAGAAACATAAATAATGTAGGTAAAAAAATTAAAGAAAAATGAAGTGGGTAGAGTAATGACAATAACAAGAACTAAGAAATAAATAATAATAACCGTTACAAAGTGTGGAATAATGAAATAAACATAATCAAAATAAGGTGACATATGTACTAAAATGGTAATCTGAGAATAAAATGTAAAATAGAAACTAGCACATAAATTATTTGTCTTTGTCAATTATAGTATAACAATATTTTAGATGCACGAAGAATAATTAAATTATACACGCAGATTTGTCCATAACTATTTTTCAAGCCCTGGTTCTATCAATTGTGGTATTAAAACAGCAAACATATTCTTCAATCTGAGACATTATTCTCTAATTTTGTGCTCTAGCGAATCTAGGATTTAATTTTTAGGAAGAGGTAGCTTTAGCCCGAAAGTATATATATGTGTGTGTGTGTGTATTTACAACGATAATTAATTTGGAAGAAAAAGAAAGAAATCAAATACCTTGATGAAATGGTGTTTAAGTGATTCTTGAAGTCCTCTTAAATGCGATAATTTTTTTTCGTAAGCCTTTAGCCTTTAAGCCTTCGTAAGGTTTTATTTTACCATTTTTTGGGGAGAGAGGGGAGCTTCAGCCAGAAAGACTCTCCACCCCGTAGATCCGCCTGTGATTTATTGTGTGTATTATGTAACGAACTATTATGTTTTGTTGGAGTATTTACCTTGTGCGGATTTGAAAAAGTAAACCACATCCTACCGTTTCGCAACAGTAATCATATCTGATAGACATCATGACTGTGCACTTTCAAGCAGATCATCCGTAACGAATTCCAAGTCATCACTTAGATTTAAATTTTGTATTAGGTTCCTCTTAGAGCATTGTATAACTCTTGATAATGATAAAATATGACGTTAGCTTAAATATTCAGTGTTTATCTACCTTATGTTTATCTATCTAAGTTAGGAAATAATTCTCGTGTAGCTTCCTATATAGTTGGTACTGTAAGCATTTCGGCCCATCCGATCTTTTCATTCCCCTACTTCCCGTTTCAGAGCGAAATCAATCCTTGTGATCCTATCTTATGTATTCATAAGAAATTCATCCTTATCGTTTCTGGTTCCTCAAGAACTAAAGCCTATAAACCGTAAACGATTTCGAGAAGTTTGTTGGTAGTATCAGTATGCTCAACAAGGAAAACAGAATGCGAGATTAGAATACTTGAACCATGACTATTACTGCGATCTAGATAGTGGAGGAATTGGAAATGCTTGATAGCTCTTTCTGATTTCAAAAGTAATGATGTACACTAGCCATCCGTTCATTTATATAGAGGTTCTAGGATATTATATCAAAAGAAGAGAACACAACGACTGTAATTGCATTTTGTATCGAAGAAAAGAACATTGGTAATCGCTTTATATTAGTAAATTCTTCAAATATATCAAAAGGACTATAAATAATTTGGTTGATGAGTTTACTATGTTCGTATACAGTTTTTCTTATAACCAGTCACACAAACAATATTTCTGTCTTGTATCATTCATAATTAGTGATCTGCTAAAAGATACATAACATAGTAATAACCTATTTTATTGAATAGTTGTTCAATCAAATAAATATTGTATTGTTGTGAATCATGTTTGGATGAGTCTAAATTTGACTTTCAAAACGACATCGAAGAAAATATATTTCATACTCGTATATTATAAACAAAATAATTATTTTTGTTGATGTATTGCTGTAATTGTTCGTAATCACTATTATTATTTTCTCGCTATGAGTCCTGCGTCCTGAATATTTATCACCCACAATAGTAGTAGGTTACGATGAGATGAAATTATTTACGAAGTTTCAGGCCGGATATTAATAATTTGATAAAAATGGGTCTGTACCACGGACTATACCGGAGTACTCCACACACATGTTGCGGTTTTCACGCCTGCGCAGGTAGAAAATACTAAATTTCGATTATTTTCCCGTCGCCTGCAGAGGCCGCTTAGCCTTAGCAGTTTAGTCTGCATCAACGACTAGCACACGCTCAGGTTTAACTGTACAAGTAAACCTTACCGGTACACCGGAAGGTTTATGTCCGGCCTTAGATTATTTACTGTTTATAGAGAAATACTAATTTGTTTCTTCAGAAGTATAATATTTTGTGGAATTACAAAGGCTTCATAACGTTAATTAACACAAATTCGGAGTTGAACTGGCTAGCAAAATGTTCTAGAATTATTCGAAGAGCTTTGGTATTTGCCGGCTACATCTCTACGAATTGACAAGGTTACGCTTATCAAAAACACCACCGAATTTCCATATCAATCGGGACAAGGTTGAGTGCCGCTTACCTTATGCAACTCACTTCTCTCCCTCACCTAAATATAAACCTATTCGCCATTGTTAACTTTAAACAATCCATAGCATGAATTGGATTTATTTACAAGCGGTGATGATCTCTAAAATATCATTAATTGTCCTGTTGTATGTGGTAGTTCTTCCAAGAAGAAGAAGAACATGTCCTAATTCGTTCGATTCACCTGGCATCCTTGTTTGTTCATTCGCATTCGTGTAAAAGTTCAGTTGGACTATTTGTCTCTCATTATTTCTTAAAATAAAATATATGTGATGTTTTTGTTTTTTTTCATTCTATGAATATTTATCAATGGATCCTCAATTTTTAAGTGAAGTTTTTCAATTTCGGAAATTAATTCATACTATTTTATTCCTGCGGGAACTCAAGCCATTAGGTATATTCTCTCTTCGACATTCGCATAATAAACTATATTAGGGAATTATTTTAGTCATATAAACACAATGTTATCAGAAAAATCTATTCCACAAATACAATTAGTAAAAACTCAATACTTTATAATGACTATGTTGAAGTCGCAATTTACTTAATAAGCAATTAGCTTACTCTATTTACTTCAGTTAAGCATCATAGACTCAGCTAATGGTAAAGTTATTCTAAACCATCATTGTACTCGTTGAGGCCCAATTAGGTTTGTGGTGAAAATATGGTTTGTTAATCTCTCAATCGTTAAGATGTGGGGTTCAAAAGGCAGACATGTAGTTCGTGAATAAAAAATCCATCGTTATGGTGATAATAAACTCAGAAAATTTAACATGTTTATTTTTACTAAACGTATCTTAAGGAATTTTTCTAGCGCTTGAAACGGGAAAAAAAAACGTTTACTTATTTTTAAGAAGTCTTTGTATTACTAGAACTTTTATTGTCGATAGTTTTTTAGTTATTTTGGAACTGGAAGTTTTTCCTTTGCGAATTTTCAAATAATAGTTTTACAGAACTTTTATTTTTGAAAAACTTAAATTTAAAAGTTTTGACGATTACGCTAAAAAGATAATCAAATAAATGACATTTTTTCATTTATTTTATTTTTCCTTTTAAGTACTTGAATAGATACAGCTTAAACTCTTACCATAAACTTAAAAGTTTTAATATTCCTGCTATTTTCTTTATTATCTGAGGTACCCATGGTATGCTCAGGATCCTCCATTATTATCCTCCATTTTCATTTTGTCAAAGATTATCATTAATAGCAATATTTTTATTTTTTAAATCTGAACATGTGATAAGTATTCCATCATAGCACCTATAAGAGCCTTTGGGCAAGAATTATCTTTTCATTTTTTTTATTTTTTATTATTTATTTTTTTTAGGGATTATCATGCCATGATGATAAATTATATCTTTGTGGTTACTACATGACACACGACAGACTAATGTTTTGAATCCTATTAAGAGAATTGAAATCCATTTTTTACAGAAGGAAAAATCTAATAAAAACCTACGTAAGATATATATGAAAAACTAGATCAAAATCATTAAAAGTTCAAGAAAAACAAAATATAATTTATTAATTGGAGTGAGAGAGTTTAGTTTGTTAATAGATATGAATCCGTTAATTTCTCATAAATAAACAGATTTACTTCGATGTTTAGTAGCATGTGTTTAGTCCGTCTGTGTTTATCCAGGTCTTGTAATAGTTTCCTATTGTTCGAATCATAGGGTTTTCAGAAAGTGTTAACTTAGAAATCTCTGCTTTTTAAAACAAATATAATATATTATAGTGTGAAACTGTAATTTTTGTAGTTTTGTAATTTTATAGTATTGTAAGTAGTTTTTCCTTCTCCTTTCTACTTCCAGCTCCATGCACAACTTTGGCAATTAAGCGTCATTGGGCGTCCTTTATAATATTAGACATCAAGAGAAAAATGGAGATATAATAATTACTTCCTAGTCCTAAAAATCGTTTAGACCAAAGTCAACTACTTAACACAACTTTTTTTTAGAACTTATAAGGGATATAATTATAAGGGATGTCGGATGGTCAAATGACCAACGACTTCGGCATAGGAAAAGTTAAATTCTTACCATAAACTTGGCACTTTATTCGAAAAAAATATCCTTAGAACTTATTTCATGAATTTTTTTCTAAAAGTTATCACAGGAACTGATAAAAGGGAATTTCTTAAAAAAGTTTCAATATTCTTGTTTTTTTTTTCTATATCATCTAAGGTACTCGAGATATGATCAGGGCTATTCTCCAGTTTTAAATATTTTTATTTCGTCAAAGATGATCATTGATAGCTTATTTTCATTTTTGAAACTTAAATATGTGATAAGAATTCCACATATGATTCTGTCATTTTTAAAAGGTTGAGAATTATATATTGTCAATTATAAGCCAATTGTGTGTAACATAGCTTCAATTTAAACCAATTTTTTTTTTCTTTTATTTATTTGAAAATGAATACATTCTGCCGCGTTGGAGGGCATTAATATTAGGGCTACATTAAACATTCACACAATATATACATACAAATGATAACTAAAATAGAGATAAAATAAAAAGAGTTGTGGAAAGTAAAATAAGAAAATTAACATACATAGGTAAAAAAAAAAAAAAAATAAAGAGAAGCTAAATGAAATTGAAATATATAAAATACATTCACACCTATATACAACATTTACATTCGCCCAGAAGATTCTGAATCATGCTTTGTCCCCCAAATGTGGAAGCCAAGGCAGGACCCCAGGAGATCCCAGTGCTTCTCGCCCAGCCGCGTCACTGGGAAAACCAATTCTAATGATTTTTTTTCATGATTCTACTTGAACATTCTTAAATAAATCATCAGAAACAGTTTGATTTGAACCTGTAAAACCAAAATTGTCATTTTCTCCGCTTTATAAAAACTATAGATATCCGTCTTTGATATGAAGCCACTCATTTAATTATTTTGTTTCTAAATAGAGAAACTATATGTGGGTAGAAATTAACAGATACATCTGGCTCTTTTCGAGTCCAGCGAGTAGTGTAAAGAAAGTTGTTATCCTCGTCATATCTTGTTTCTGTCACAGCCGTCATCGGACTTGGCCATTACAAGATGAGGTGTACAATAGAAGAAGATAGAGCTGACAAATGTGCAATAATTGGCCGGGGCTGTGGAAGCGGTGCCGGGAGAAGGGGCCCCAACCTCCGGCCATATCGACCCGCCCTTCCACCCTCTTCCTCTAATAATGTCTGTCTCCTCTGCCGCCGCTCTCCCATTTCTTGGCTACATCTTCCAATTTCCGAAAATTTTCCAATATTCTGTCGCTCCCGTAATGGCAGTTATTACTTATATATCAAACCTCTCTTCCATTCCCCGATTTGATTTGTTGAACGTGTCTCATTCACAAAATAAAATTTTATCAAAGAAAGTATACAATAAAATATTTTTTTATTGAGGAACAGAGTTGAGATTCTTATTTCGACAAACCCTCAGATACGAATTTTCATTGCAATCGAAAAATGAAATTTTTTTACCTCAAATTTTCGTCAAGGCTCCTCCATTCAATTTTTTTTAAAAAATCACAAAAGTAGTCATAAGTTAGATATGGGTCTACTTAATTAACTACCCAAAAATTGGCATGACTTTAGTTAAATTATACCCATCATTATTTAAAAGCTTTTTTGATTCCCAAAAAAGCTTCTCATTCACAGATTTTTTTTTATTATTATTTTTTTTTTAAATTTATTTATATATACATTACATCATGTCAAAAAGATACATTCCATGTTTTTGGTTGCGGTAACCAGTGGTATGAATGTTGTTTAGTAGATTGAAATCAATTTTATACAGTAGGAAAAACCTCATAAAAAACCTACATAAGATATAAATGAAAACTAGCATAAATGAAAACTAGCAATAATATTTTATCAAAGAAAGTATACAAGGAGGATCAATTCTAATAATAGATATTTGTAAAAAAAAATCACCTTAGATGATACTCTTTTGAAAAACCAGCATTTTATACTTTTGAAATATTTCTTTGATAATTAAAAGGTGAATTTTTGTAATTAAACTTATTTTCGAAGGGAAAATCCTAATCCATTTTTATGAAAATTTATATAAGTATCGATTCCCACCCAATGAATCCGATGGTGCAGTTATTTTATTTAAATTTTGTCCAAATATGGTATTATTTAAATTTTTATTGTTATGTATACTATATATGTAAATTGATTAAATAAACATTTTGGAAGGTTAGGGAAAAAAAAAGGTATTATTTAAACCAAAAAAAAAATCCTTTTACTATTCAAATTTAAATTAAAAATAAATTTATATTATTGTACCATTATTGGGGAAAAAAATTATGTTTTATTCTTTATTCCTGTTATTCAAATTTAAATTTAAAATAAATTTATTTTATTGTAACATTATTGAAAACAAAAAGTTAATTTTTTATAGTACTATTTTTCTTCTCTCCGCCTCCCCTAAGTCATACACGTTTTTTTTTTTGTTTAAAAAAATGTAGTTTAATTCTTTCTAAAAGGAACCAACACAAAGGAAGTAAACAACAACCACAAAAAAAATCTATTTTACTCATGGAGTAGATGATTGCAGCAGATAATTGCCCAGTGATTCATTTTTTTTATTTATTTTTTTTTTACAATCTAAACAAGCCAGAACGTAAACAATAAGTAGCCCAATCGATAGCATTATAAAACAATTTAAACCAAAATCATTTGCTATTATTGATTAGTAATTTGTAGTTGCGAAGTAAAAAAGACCTGAAATTAATTATTGCTATAAACTATTGCTTCTCTGTATGAAATCGGACTATAGTTTTATAAATGTTTTAGAATTTCTTAAAGTCTGCTATCACTTTTTTTAATAGTTCCCTTTACGTATTTCAAGTTCATTTGGACTCTGGTCTAATTAAGAATAGGAAAGGAATAAATTTATTTTTATTTTTTAATAGCAACTATAAATGAAAATATATTCAAATTAGGTAATTCATTATTTAGGTAATCAACATTTATTACACACTAAAAGAAATTTTTTTCGAAACAAGTTAAAATTTTATTTTTTGTAATATCCTTTAATGGGATGGGGGCTTTCAAGCGGCTTTAGACATGCGTGGTTATTCGTAAAATAATGAGTTATAAACATTTTTTTTGTGTGTTTTTTTAAATCAACTTACTATATTACAGGCCTTCTAAACTTTCTATTGACTCAATGACCAAACTCATTCTTTCACTTACACGAGTGTTTCCAAACTACTACGGCCCGTGAATGTTTCTTTGATTACTTGGTCAAATTTTAAAAAATATTAAAAGACTATTCTTTCAATCTAATTTAAAAAATCGCTCAAACATGTGGTTACATTTATTTCATTAGTTGTTTCAGTTAGGAAGTTCATTTCACAACTAGTGTGTAATTTATAACATAGGATTTTTTTTCTTCATCGCAAACTCTATCTCGCTGAACTTTGTGGATGTATCAATCTATTTGTAACATTTTGTCTATGTGTTTTAAAATCAGATTGTTCCCTGAAGATACCTGAATAGACTAAAATCTGGATAGTTTTATTGTGAAGTATTTTTATTAATTGAGACTACTAAGACCTAAATTACTGCCTATACTTAAACAGTATCTTTCTTTTTTATCCTCATAAAAAAAATGAAGACTGTGTACAGATTATTTTTCTGATGTTCATAGATCGGAATCGGCAAGTATATATATATATTTTACGAAAAAGTCAATTTTCGACCATTTTGCTATCTTGAGCTTCAACTGTACGGTCGTGAGCTCTATCGACAGCCACAGGAATTATCCCTAGCGCTCTGACAGAGCTATCAACGAAACTTCAGACTTCGTTGGGCGCAAGGAAAAACTTTATTATTATGTAAATAGATTTATATACATTATAGCAATGTAAATAGCAATAAAAATTACGTATTTTAAATAAAGTTATTTATATAGATGTATTCTCGATGGATGTAACTAAATATACTTGTAAGATGCCTCTCGGATCAGAGGTTGTTCTCGATAGATGAGCTTTCTCAAGACGTCTCAGTCTGTGATTTAGGGAATATATCAGGAGTTCTGTATTTACCTAAAGGGATGTTGCCAATGAAATATAATAAGTTAAAAAATTATGTATCTCCATGCATTATTATAGTTTCTGTATTAAATATCTTTCCGCTAATACCGTTTAGATGACGGACTTCTGTTTATACATTTAAAAACTCAATTGTAAAAAAGCATTTCTACTTGGAGAATTTAACTAGAATGCAGGGTTTTTCCTCTTAGGAATGATTGCCGTATTACAGGCCCTTTATAGTAATTTATCTCAGTTTTTGACAAATTTGGTAAAAATCAGCGTTGGTTGACCGTAGTTTTATACCTTACTGCGTAACCAAATTATAAAGTTTATCTACTCGTTCGACGCAAAATTTATCGATCTTTAATTTATTTAAGAGTACATTTTTCGCTATGATACAGCGCTTAGAAGGTATATGTGAAAAAACAAAAGAATGTCGAAAAAATCTGACTTTTTTGGCTGTAAAAAGTTTTTCCTTGGTGGTCCGCGTTAGAAATTTTGTATTTTACATTCCTAAATCCATATATACAAGTTAAAAAAATAAAAACTTTTCCCACATTTTTCGCAATGGATGTCCCATTTTTATCCTCAAATTACTGGCCTAATATTCTTTAAAGTAGCGGCTCTGGAACGCCAGGCAAGGTTCTTTTTACTCAGAATAACATATACTTTCGTTATTTACAATCAAAACTTCCCCTGCAATGAGGTCGATTTTCGGTCCCTGACTATTATTAAAATACGTTCTTGAATGAGCTTTAAAAATTGCATTTATTTTGTTAATAATGACCCAAAATTGTTCTAGTTATTACATATCCGTTTACAAACTCCTAAATTATCCTATTCAAAAACGTTTGCTAATTGTTGTGACGTAAGTCGGTGGCTCTTTTGTGACGGGAAAACAATTTGGATAGACCTTTTGCGTGAATTGTTGATTACGTAATTCAAACCTACCACAATGAGCTGAATACTGTTTATTTTTTAATTAAGACATAAAAGTGGATTCGTCGTGTATTGTATCACAAAAATTACAAGCCTTAATTTGATAATATCTGTCACTGTCAATAGTTCGAAGGTTCAAAGTACGCCGTTCTGAAACTGCTCCGTTTTAGAAACCGTTGAGGCCGATGTGTTGGCTAGCGTCGACGCTACTTACTGAAGATATCCTGCCTCAAGATGTTTTTATAATTTATTAATTTGAGGATTTGGGATAGGTTGGAAAGTGGGTGTTTGTTCTTCTAGAAAGAGATAATTATATAGCCAGTCGATCTTCATAGGATTAGGTTTTATTACATTTCTGCGGATTAGTCTTTCTTACTGAAAGCAATCTTTTATAGAATGAGTGATAATTTGGAGGTATTTATAGCAAAACTTCAAATATTTTTTTTTTTTACTTTTTAATGTGCACCGAATGGATACAGAGGATCTTGAACAATATTAGCAAAGCTTTCTTTAGAAGTTGACGTTATTTTAGTTTAATAAAATTTGGTGCATCATACGACTTTCATTTACCATCTTTGATAAGAAATAGATATTATCATATGTACAAAAATTAAAATTAAAATTGCTATGGCATGACTTTAATAAGACCTATTTGGACTTATGGAGTTGAACTGTGGGGCTCCACTAAACCATCAAATTCCTCTCGTATCCAATCTTTACAATCTAAAATCCTTCGTAAAATCCTCAATGCTCCTTACTTTGTCACAAATAAAATAATCCATAAAGACCTCAATGTTCCATATGTTTCCGATTTGGCCCAATCCAGATACCTATCCTTCCATAATAAACTTCATAACCATCCGAATCCTCTTGTTTCTAACCTTGCTTCCTATTCGATTCCTGATAACCCTCCGAGGCGTCTGAAAAGGAGATGGCCTCGTGATCTCCTCATGTAGACAAATTATTAGAGTGCTACCAATGGGTAGTTTCTCAACAAGCGTGTTTCATGTTATTTTATTCCTCTGTACACATTTACTTGATGTATTCATACTAATACAGTTGTAAATATCATAATAAAAAAAAATTGGTATGGAGATGTTTGACCGTGGATTCAATTACAGAACAAGTTAGTCGGAGGTGTGGTCAAAAAATACTACATTATATAATAGTTATATATATTTTATTACATTGTCTAACGTTTCTAAAAAGTTATTGATGGTACAATATATTCATTCTTCTTGTTCGTTCTCTCCATTTAGGCTGTCACTGAGCCTTATTTGGGAAGTACTGCATGGTAACTTGCTTTCCAAAACATCATGAAAGATGTTTGGAGACTATTTCGCACCTTTCGGTCAGTTACTTCCGACTTCAGAGTGGCATTTTTAAGATTTTTTTTACTAACATACTCATATAAAACAATTAATTACGATGTTCTTCCCACCGGTCTAATCTGTGAAGTTGATGCGTTTTTCGTCACTGTCCATTTTCTTCTATGGCTTTATAATTTAATTATTTTTTTAAATATAAGGGTTCCTTGATTTTTTTTTTTTTTTTTTTACCTGACTTGGCAAGGAAAGTTTTGAGAACCACTGATCTATAATATAGGGACATAAAATCTTTTTATCATTAGCGGCCACATTTAGCTTTGGCAGTGATTAAGGAGGTCGCTATATTTATTTATAATTCATTGTGCATATTTTAATTCGTTTAAACAAACCATAAATAGTATATAAGATCAAAATTTTATCTATTTAAATAAATTAAATGATTTATATTTGAGGAACTTGCTACCAAAGTAGAACCCCAACTTTAACCGAAACTGAGATTTCGGTTATGTTTTGTTTGCTTTCAAAAGTTATATTTAATGTTATATTATCTTTTATAACAAACATTTTCTCACCATTGATGAAATGATGAATGGAAATATTGCTTTTTATACTTAACTGGAAATCTACAAATGGTGAAAAGATCAGTTTTTACTGTCACTTTGCCAACTAAAGTAATTGTAGATTTCGACTTATTATTGCAAAATCTTCAATTTTAATTTATAATAAAATGTAACTAAATAATTTACTAAAAGTAATTAATTTTAGTTAATCGAGTGTATTAACCTGTAATTCTTAACCGTGATTGAGAACCAATAGAAATAGTAAAAATGAAATTTTCAACATATTTTTTTGCCTGTAGGTGCTGCTGGTTACCTCCTCGAGTCGTCCGGACCATTGGATTGTGCCCGGAGGTGGTGTTGAACCAGAAGAAGAACCGTCCATGACCGCCATCCGGGAGGTGGTCGAGGAAGCTGGTGTCCTTGGGAAACTGGGCAGGAGACTTGGAGTCTTCGAAGTACATCAAGTCATTTATTTTCTTTGCCTTTATCTAGAATTAATTATTAGATTAAGTCTAGTTGTATAACCTATGTTATTACCACTAAATTAAATTCATTAATAGGAAAAAACTTTCCCGGTCCACAAAAAAATTTAAATTATTTTATTATATAAAAAAATGTTGTCTAAATATGGTGATCCTTGTTATGCCTCGTACCCATTGGATCTAAGGCTGCTTTAATGTAATTTTACTTTCAGACTATCAGCTTCCGGGTCATAACATATGAATTTTTGCATCTTGGATGGGGGAAGCCATTGCTAATTATAAATGTAAACATGTACACGATAGGATGATAAAAAATTATAGCAGCACTTAATATTATTAGATTAACTTCGTCTAACTGTACAAATTGTACAGATTCCCATTCATATTAAAGTTTTTTCATCTTAGTATATGCCTGAATTAGTAAAATATTGACCCCTTAGCTATTTGTTGCTGTTTGGGAGTTATAAGGCGTTTAGCTTTGAATCTTTCAATAATTTAATTATTTATTGAACCTGATTACAATTTTTGTCCCATTCTCTCTTGTTTTGGCATTTTCTAATTACTACTCTCTAAATTTATCTTTATATTATTTCTCAAGTGTGTACCATATTGTCAGTTTATTGCAAGAAGCCATTAATGTATTTTGTTATGTATAGGTTAACTTTCAAATATATTTTTGTTAATTGCAACCTTATTAATCTTTACAAAAACACTGTAAGTGTATAAAAATTACATAAAACCCATTTATTTATCATATATAGTCGTACTAAGTACACTATTTTCTGATTTCATAAAGGAAAAATCTGTCAGAGTTCTTAATTATTTTAGGTCATGAAATATCGCTTAATGACGTTCTGCAATAAACTGACGGTATATTTATTAATACTTCATCGAATCCAATGATTGAGGTATCCTTTTGAAGATAATCTTTTTCTTGAGTGCCGAAAAATAAGCACTTCTTCCTGAAAAAGTACGACAAAAATTTATGAAGAAAAGGAAACTTAATTTTTGACTTCTTCTGGTTTTACTGGTGAAGTTGGCAAATATAGCTTTCTTGTGATTCCAGTTAATTTTTTATTTTATTAGTTTGACATATTGAAAATTGTTCAAAACATATTTACAGTTGCTGGGATATCTTACTTTTCTTTGTATATTTTTCTTCTCTATAATTATATATATATATTTGGATACATATTGACCTACAATTGGTTACATATGAAATTTGTTTCATAAAAAGATACAAAGGTACAATATTTGTATATTGTATTACCATTTATTTCCCGATGATTGTACTAAGCAAATTATTCACATGGGCCAACCGACTATTAAAATTTAAAATCCCTTAAAACACTTAAATATTAGCAATTCTTATTAGTTTTTCGTTTATTTTTATTGTTGATCTGATTCCTTCTAATGAAGGTAGAGAAGCTTAGTGTTCATGCAGGAGATTAAACAAATTTGTGCTTAAAATTTAAATTTCATCAAATTCTATTCCCTACTTTCCACTTAAGTATAAATATATTTTCATTGATATTTGATTTGATGAAATTTCCTTGATGATCCAATATTGTTTTTATCAAATTTGTCCACTTCTTTTTTTTTTTTTTGTTTGGCCCAATTCAGAGACGGTTCTGTTACCATAGATGAGCCGAACACTGGTCCAATATTGTTTTTATCAAATTTGTCCACTTTTTTTTTTTTTTTTTTTTTATATTTTTCTTTGATACCATTTTCAAAGACCAATTTCAAAAATAGCTCCTCCATAGATTTTATTCTCAAATGACAAATCATACACTTTGAAATATAGGTGATTATGTGACCATTATAAATGGTGGTGAAGCTATGTGCAAGTTCCTAAACTCAGTGCTCAGCTTATTGATGGGATTGTTTGGCCCAATTCAGAGACGGTTCTGTTACCATAGATGAGCCGAACACTGGTTTTAGGAACTTGCTCTATACTGACTACATAGTTGACTTTAATTTTTATTGATTTAAATACAGTTATTTGTTTCTTTATTTATGTTATTTATAAATGTTATTTATGCAATAATGATTCATTTTGATTTCAGAACGATGAGAGAAAACATAGGACTGAAGTTTTTGTAATGGTTGTAACAGAAGAACTACCTGAATGGGAAGATTCTAGAAGCATAGGTGAATTACATTTATGTTTATATTTATATATGTATATTTATATTATCATATTGAGTTGTAATTAAATTTTCAAACTTTAAATGAAGCTTGATATGTATATATTATTTTATTTATATCTGCCCTCCCATGCCAATATGGCAATACAGTAGTGTTAAATTAATCATGAATGCTTAATAACACTCTACTGCAGATTTCTTAATTGTGGATTGCTGGTTGACTGTAGTGAATAATTGTAATTGAAGGGAAGAATGGTTGAGATGATCTGTCAAAAAAAATTAGTAAATAAAAAAATAAATAAATAATTATATTTATTTTTACTATTTATTTTTTACTAATCATCCCAGCAAATTTTTTAATTTCACACCATGTCATCGGGCTAGGTTCTATAATCTGGAGATCTTCCTGGCACTTGTTCTTGTGTCCTTCCAGATTATCTTCTTCCACCAATTAGACTCATCCATTATCCTGAAGATTTTCCAAAAGTACTGTAGTGCCTTCTCTCTTATAAAAGTAATTATATATAATTACTTCGTCACTTCTTCTAGCAGGAGTGCGATATGAATCACACCTGCTGTGGCATAGAGCAGAACTATTCTCTGAGTCAATGCTAACCTATCTTTCTGTCTTAGTATGAGGTTCCTGAACCAGGAGGGAGACACGTGACTCAGAACACCCACCACAACAACTTAATAAACCCTGATTATGGCTGGATAACTGAGACCTCAGAAAGCATCACCCCCCTCCTCCCGCGACAGATCTTTCATTGCTAGGGCCATCCTACGGTGTATAATGTTATAATACACCTTAGTGTAAATTAAATAAGTAACACATTATGAAATTCATAAAAATATTTAAGATCTTCTCATGACTTCCTGTGCTGTTATCTGTTTTCCATAATTAAATGTGATTTTTTTTCCCTAATCCAATGAGTTTAATCCTTAGTTCCAGATAAATGAATCTTCCCAATTTTGAATTTTTTCTTTTTTTCATGTCGGTATTTAGTGGTATGATTTCTAATAGTATAACTAACTAATTATTGAAGGAAGTTATTCGACTGTTCTACATATCATGTGTGGTAAATATTCAGGACGCAGTCATTTTAAAGATTTTTATTGGTGCCAACGTTTCAACCCAAACATGTGGGTCATCAGGGCGTGTTTCGAGTACTGAAGGTATTCAAGTGCTCCAAACAGGCGTGAGTTACTTGAATACCTTCAGTGTTCAAAACACGCCCTGATGATGACACATATGTTTGGGTTGGAACGTTTTCACGAATAAAAACTTTTAAAATGACTGCGTCCTGAATATCTATCACCCATTATAACTACCTAAATTTGTAATGTTTTCTATTATTACTCAAATTGTATTTTCATCCAAATATTATATAAATTTGTTTAATGCTAAAAGTTCGATATTCATTTATTAATGTAATGATGGTATATGTTTACTATGGTTGATTGGTGGTTAAGTTTCAGACCTTCATTAGTACTGTTTCCCCGAAGGATGTCGAGTTACTGATAAAGGCCTGAAACATAGGCCGAAACGTTGGCACAAAGGATATAAAAATAAATGTTATTTACAAAACCTCAACCAACTGCTCTTTAATATATCTGCCTATCGACTGACTACCAATCCACTAAAAGAAAATGTAAATTAATTTGATTCTTTTATGGTTAGAATAAGCTGGTAACTTAATTTCACTGTCACCATCTTAATTTGAGTACTTGATAGCACATAAGAAACTTAAATAAACTAAATTTTTAAAAATTGATAAATAAAGAAGGAATATGTAATGATTATTAATTTTTTCTTGTGAAGTTTTTGTCTACAAAAGAAATATTTGACAAATAATTTTTAAAATTTAGACAAAAAAATTACAGTACAGATGGTAATGATGTTTATAAAGAAATTTTTTTTAAATGGCCAAAAAGGCAAGGCAAGCGCATTACGATATGTATGATATAACCAAGTATAAGTTTTTTTATCATTTATATATTTTTGGAATGAAAAACTTGATCTTAATTGGTTAATTAAGTTTTTATAGAATCGCCACATATATTTTTACAGTAATGCTCAAAATCGGTTTTGTACCAAATATAAGCTCCTGTCATGCTCAAATACCATGAATGGGGTACCGTTGGATTCAGAATTTCACGGGTGGATTAGCGAATCGTATTCTCTACTTTTGCCATTCTTTGTGGGTACATAGTGACCAATTTTTCTCAATTACTAGTGATATTCACTTATTTTATTAGTCAGCCAAGTAAGTACTGATTTTTATTTGTCCGTTTCAAATTTTTATTAACCTTCCAAAAGGTTTTTTGAGATAGTATGATCACATCAATCTGAGAGATTTTCCATAAATGTGAATCGCTATTCCTAATCCCAATTAATGAGGTAAAAGTTCCAAAATCATATGGAAATAAAAATCCAAGTTAGCAAAGTGATAGTTAATTTTTATATATTTGTGCTTCTTTCATATCATGGGTTTATTACAGAAAATCACTAAGTGCATTTTCGATATAGTTTAACTTTCAAATTTGTTTTTTTTTAATTCGACCTTAGTTACCTGCACTAACACACTGTCATAGTATGAAAATGACACACACCCTTTTATTTAAAATATATAGTTACATTACGTGCACAATTTTCTGATTTCAGATAAATTGATCAAAGTTCTTAATTATTTGAGGTTATGAAATGTCACTTAATGACTTTTTGAAATAAACCGACCATGTATGTTTTTATTTATTTTGTTTCTAATCTATTGAAATAATTGTTTCAGGCCGCCAAAGAAAATGGTTCACTGTGGAAGACGCTTTAAAACAACTCTCTCTTCATAAGCCTGTGCAACTTACTTATTTAGAGTCACTTATATCACCTAATGATACAAGCAAAGTAACATGAAAAAATCTTAATTTTCCTTCACATGATCCAATTTTATATTAATCATGTTATACCTAAATATATACTATCTTATACTTTTTAATGTTATTGTTAATATTTTTAATCTATTATTAATATAATATTTAGAATAAAAAGAGACTAAGGGATTCAAATGGTAATTGACTTTAGACGGATTATTGTAACTTTTTTTTATTTCATGTGACTGTGTATTATCTATTATTTTTTCTTGTCTGTATTGACACACCACCCCTTCTGAGGAACTTGTTGAGAAAGTTGTTATTATAGTGCAGATGATTTTTTTTTTCAAGTAAGATGCTTGTTTTTTTTAAAAAAAAAGGCTTGTTTTTTTTTTATTGTTTTTCTTTTTAATCCCTACCCTTAGATAATAACATTAGAAAATTTAAATGATAAAATATTTTTTTGGTAATTGTCATTCCTTATAAATTATTCCTTAATAAACTTATGGTCTCCTGGTTTCCCAGGACTTGTAATTAATTAATCCTACAAAATAATTATATGGTCAAACTTCTATATTCAGGATGTTCAGTGCTTCTCTCCAACAAAATTTCGTTAAATTTGAATTTAAATAATCTCAGTGTTTTAAACCACAAGTTTGGAACTTATTAATTAAACTAATGAGTGCAGTTTCCAAGAATAAACTATTATTGAAACCCATACTCATTTCAGACTGTTTGAGGACTGCCCTACATAAAATAAATTCCAACTAACCATTTGTTCGGCACCATGTTACATTAACAAATGTGAGTCTGTTTAAGGTTACATATTCGTTATTTTAATATGGTGCTGACAATATAACTAAAATTGAAATAACACTAATACTTAGCTGTTGTAAATTTTACCTACAAAAATCTAAATTAAATACTTTCTGTCTTAACATTGGATTTTATTAAATTATTTCCAAACAATTATTTATATAGTTCTAGAGTAAAATAGATTTAATGGATGATTCTTAGTTGCTGAATACGTTACCTGCAATATATTTTAAACTTGAAAAAATATAGATGACTAAATACATAACCATTGTATGTCCATTTATTGAAAGATTTCACAAACAGTTGTTAAACAATCATTATCTGTCCTAATATCATGTTTAAAGGTCCTCTAGCAAAAGGTTTTTTTTTTTCTTTAAATTATTTTAAATCTGTTAATTAAATAAAAAGAAAAAAACTAGATCTAATCTTGGCATAATAATTTTTTTTTTATTATTTTAATGGAATTTACCACTGTATTACATAGAAAATACAATAAGTAAATGTGAAATTGGTAACATGACATGTACAACATGAAGAGAAACTACCCATTGGTAGAACTCAGAAGCATAATAAATTAAAAAAAAAAAAAAAATACACAGAACTTCTGGATTTGAATAATAGTTAATAACTCAGTGATTACAATAATTATATTTACCACATTTTATCTTCTGAAAGTACTTACGGCTTCCAAACTTAAGCTTGTGCTGAAAAAAAGAATGTTTGGGATATATATTGGTTTTTCTTTTAATCATCGATATTAAAAATTAAAAATAATTGAGTACAGAAAACAATTCAAATTTTTGTCATTTTCATAAAGTTTTTGGGTTAGTTTTTTTAGATTTGAAGATATCTCTTAGGGATTCAAGAAAATAAACAGAATCTCATATGGAGATTTTATTTTGAAAGTTATACAATTGGTATATTTAGTTCCAAACCTTTTACATTTATAACTTATGCATAAGTAATTACTGCTGAAATTTACTAATAAAATACAAATTTAGTGTAAACTTATTTTCAGACAAAGTAAGTTCGGTTTTATAAAGAGAAGTAGAAGAAACTAGGAAAAATTAAAAATGTTTTTACGTTTTCTTGATTGTTTTTTTATTAGTTCATTTTCCTCATTAACTTTTTTCCTTTTCCATAATTACAAATGTTTTAGCTAGTATAGTAAGGGAATTTGATTAATAAAATAATGGGATTATTGGAAATAAAAAATTATGTTATACCATTATTTTATAGGTAGCAAAGTCATTAAAAATATATAAGTAAATAAAAAATCGATCCTTAAAAGCACTTATTATTTTAAAGTCTTATAGTAGGTAAATTTTATAAATCAAATTTAAAGTACCACTTTTCAATTTTTCAAGAGAAAAAAAGGTATGTCTTATATGATGCATTACCATTGTTGAAAATTCTAAGAAAAAAGTTTATGAAGATTATTATATTTATAAATTTATGAAGAGAAATACAATAAGTTATCAAGCTATAAATTGTTATGTTCTACTTTTTTTTTTGTCCTAACCTTGTATGTGATAGAGGGTTTTTCCCAGGCCAGGAGAGAGGGTGGGAGATTAATAGCAGAGTTAAAAGTACTCTTCCCTCCCTTGCCACTGGGATACGAACTTGTAATTACTTTATCATATTAAATTCAATTGATCAGGTTGCCAGGCATCTTATTTTGTTTTTTAGTTTAGAAATGAATAATTTAAAAAATATCTCTACTTTCGGTGTCGGTCTTCTGCGGTTCTTAAGAGTTTTATTGCTCCTTACAAAAGGTTGCCTCCAATCTTGTGTCGTTACCCTCGCCCAGGTGTTAGCACTTATGATTTTTGTTTATTTATACCTTTGAACTAATTAAATAAATTCCACAGGCGGTCTTTAGAATACATAGCAATATATATATATATATATATATATATAAACCATGATTAATTATGAATATCCACTTTAAAGGCATTCATATGCCCCTGGAGGGTCTCCTGATCCACTGGAGATTTAAAAGAATAAATAATTACCTGTTACAGCTGGAAAGAAAAATAGGTGCTTTACTGAATCTACTTATAAAATTATTCCAAGAAATCTTTAATGGGTTTGGTAAAGCTAGATCTGATGTGAAATCTGGAAACTAATCAACACCCCAGAAACACGTATTGCTTGGCGAGGCACAAACAAATTATTTATATTAAGTGGTAGTATGAATGAATTCATTCACAAAGTTAAAAATATTGTTTCCTTCTGGTTATGAAATTTCTTGATTACCAAGAGTATGTTAAGAATAGGAGAGATTTAAAAATACTGATAAGGAAGAAATATTAATGATATTAGGAGGGAGCAGTTCGAAAACAAATCTATAGAAGCAATTAATGTGACATTAAGTGGAATTGCTTTCTTCAAATAAGAGTGCATAGAACAAATATATACTATCATTGGACGAAATATTTTTTGTTCTATTATCTACCATTTAAGTATATTTTAAAAAAGTGGAATTTATAAAGATGATCATAATTTTTTTTTTTTAAGTTAAGTGACATCACTCCTACTCATCTCGCTTTTGACTTATTACAATGAGGAAAACCAAAAATCAACTCAATATAGGTGAAAAATATTTACTATCTGTATTCCTTAAAAGCAGCCCCATTTTTTTTATTTTTTTTTTTAATCAGCTTTATTCTGGGACTATATCCCTTAAGAATATCAGTACAAACAAAACTAATGATCCATTCTGGCCATAAGACAATTACATTAGCAGAAATTACTACTGTATAGTTATAAAAAAATATAATATAAAAACAAATAAGTAATGTTAAATAAAATCTGTACTGAAAATAGAATGATACTAAAAGGGTAATTAAATTAATCATTTTAAACATTGTAGAATAACTGTTCAAAGGGGCCTTTGCTTCTCTGGCTCTTGTTTAGCATCAGGATGGTGCTTGATACTGCGGCTTCCAGGATCCGATTTCTTAGCTCTTCTTGCGTACCAAAAGCAGCAGAATAAACCATAGACTTCATCCAGCCCCACACTAAATAATCTAATGGCGTTAAATCCGGAGATCATGGTGTCCATTTAACAGTTCGGTTTTGACCATCCCATTGGTCTCCATAAGTTGCATTTAAATAATCAGTGACACTATTAGAGAAGTGAGCTAAAGCACCATCATAAACCACAGTCTTTGCCTAGTGCCTTCTTGGAGTTCATGAAGATTATTTTGAAAAAAATGCAAGTAAGATATACATGACAGCCTAGGTGGCAAAAAGAAGGGGTGGATGATGTCCCTTAGATTACCACACCAGAAATTTAAAGAAAAGGTATGTTGGTAATGTCCAACAGCAGTCCTATGAGGGTTTTCTTCAGCCCAAGTATGGGTGTTTAGAAAATTAAGAATCCCATTTCTTGTAAAGCAAGATTCATCAGTAACCAAAATGCAGTTCAGGAAGTTAGGATCTCCTGTGCATTGTCGAATTAACCACTGGGAGAAATTTCTGTGCTTGTGGTAACAAGTCTTGCCTTCTGGATAAGCAAAATGGATACAATTGTTGTCCGCGTAAAGTTAGCCATACGCTGGTAGACGAAACATCGAAACGACGTGCCAATCTTCTGGTACTAGTAGTAGGAGATAACTGAACAGCATCGAGTATTTCTTCTTCAACGTTTGCAGTTCGTCGAAATCCTTGTCTACTGAGCATAGGTTTTAGCTTGCCATTATCCCTAAGGCGTCTTTCATTGGTCTCAAACGTTTTACGATTTGGTATTCTTGGGTTAGGAATTTTTTCTCGATATCTTCGAAGAGCAGCAGCACCGTTTCTATGTAACTTGCCATGAGTTCAAAGCATGTCTCTATGTTCTGCAAAAGTGAATAAATTGATGGTGTCTCCCATGATAATGTTAAATTGAACTATAGTATTCACCCACACTAAAACATACAGAACTAGACAAACATATGAGCAACTACTATCATTACTTATCATTCATTTGTTTATCTGGTGATTAAAACCTGTTATTAAATATTAAACACGTTAAACTTTGTACAATCAGTCTTAATGTACTAAATAAATAATAAATCTTTAACCTTTGATATCTGTTTAATAAATGAGTTTGAGATATATGTTAAAACGAACTTTTTGTTTATTTTGTGTTAGTGAACACATACCTAAAATAGTGCCGTGCAATTACGAAACACCCATAAGTATAATACATATTTAGACAGCATCTGCTCGTGTTGTGCAGAGGAAGTGGAAAAGGAGAGGGCATGGCGAATTTTAAAAGGGAAAGAATTCCAAAAAGTGGTGGAGAAGGCAATGAAGCAGTTTTGGAATGGAGCAATCTATGAAAAGTAGTATAGAAGAGGGTCACATATTGTGGAGGGATTGAATTGGAGGAGATTGTAGGCATAGAACGGTCGATGGTTGTTGATTATTTGGTAAAGGAATGTGCCTAGGAAGTGTGTTTTCTGAAGGAGGTGAAGAGCCACCTTAACTCAACATATTAGTGTAAAACACGTGAACATCTCAGTATTCCATTCACGAATCTTATGAAGCTATTCATAATCCTTCTTAGTCTTTCACTGAGATCTTCCATATACCACACAGCTGTAAAACTGGGGAAAGGCGGAGGAAGCTAAGTCTTCGTATGGATGCGGGGGCGATGTTACAGTTTAAGGGTGCAAAAAAAGCCACCAGAATATCCATCCTCTTACCGTCCCATCTCTCTGTTACCCATCATGGGAAAAATCCTGGAAAAACTAATCTTAAAACGCCTGTACCCAATCCTAGATTCTAATCACATAATCCCAGATCACCAATTTGGATTCCGCTCCTCCCATTCCACTATACAGCAATGCCATCGTGTGGTAGACGTAGTATCCTCTGCATTGGAGCGCGGTATGTACTGTACGGGAGCCTTTCTCGATGTTGAACAGACGTTTGATAGAGTTTGGCACCCGGGACTGCTGTACAAACTCCGAAAATTCCTACCATCTACCTACTTCCTCATCCGTTCCTACCTTACTGATAGATACTTTAAAGTAAATCACAACAATGTATATACATCCTGTTTTTCCCAGTCTGCAGGTGTTCCTCAAGGTAGTATCCTAGGTCCTATCCTTTACACAGTTTATACAGCTGACATCCCAACACTGTCATCACCACATATGCTGATGACACATGTATCCTATCAGTTAATAACGACCCATCTATTGCATCCCAAACCCTTCAATCCCACATCACAAACCTTGAAGAATGGTGTCAGAACTGGAGAATTAAAATAAATTCCAATAAATCCCATCAAATTTACCTTCACCCTTCGTCGTAAACCAATGACTTCCTGTCCTTCAGTATCCTTTAACAACACCTCACTTATTCCTGTTGAACAAATCCGTTACCTAGGACTCCATCTGGACAAACGTCTAACTTGGAATCCTCATACCAGACTGAAACGACAAGAAACAGCTCGACGTTTCCGACTACTTCAACACTTACTAGACAAACGCTCTAACCTTCCAATCAATTATAAAAGACTGATTTACATGACTATAATAAGGCCTATTTGGACTTACGGGGTTGAGCTATGGGGCTCCACCAAGCCTTCAAATTCCTCTCGCATACAGTCCTTGCAATCCAAAATCCTTCGTAAAATCCTCAATGCTCCTTACTTTGTTACAAATAAAATTATCCATAATGACCTTAAGTATCAGATTTGGCCCAATCCAGATACCTCTCCTTCCATAATAAACTTCATAACCATCACAACCCTCTTGTCTCTAACCTTGCTTCCTATTCGATTCCTGATAACCCTCCGAGGCGTCTGAAAAGAAGATGGCCACGTGATCTTCTAATATAGACATATTATTAGAGTGCTACCAATGGGTAGTTTCTCAACATGTGTTCCATGTCTTTATACCAATGTGCGAATTTACCAGATGTATTTTTTGTATACAGTTGTAAATATCATTTAAAATAAATAATAAGGGTGCAAATTGATCAACAGAAGATATGAGCAATATGATTTCTAGAGTGGGTTTGGTCTATGATTATGTCTAGGTTTTTAACAGCGGGATATTTGATGGGAAGGTAGTTTACGTGTAGAGTAGGAAATTTGGTACTGGATTTGGAACCAGTGACGATGGCCTGAGTTTAAGCAGCGTTAACCTTAATCCATTTTAGTTTGCCCAGATACTGATATGATCCAAGTCTTCTTGAATTTTAGTAAACACTACATCTACTTCTAAGAGAGGAAAGAGAAAGGAAGGAAATATGGGAATCGTCGGCATAGAAGTGATGAGAACAATAAAGGATTGATTTATGCAAATTGCCAATATAGGAACTGAAGATAAGGGGGATATGCTTGAACCTTGGACCACTACTGAGGTCTGAGTGAGATAGAGGTTGATTGAGAATAACTGAAGGAAGTTAGTCAACTGTTCTACATATCATCAATATATCGGAAATATTAAAGAGACAGTCATTTTAAAGGTTTTTATTAGTGCAGATGTTTCAACCCAAACATGTGGGTCATCATCAGGGCTGACAAAGTGTTTCATATAATCAGAGATATAATATTATAAGACAAATAATGATTAATAATAAAAAAATGAGAACAGTGAATATTGATTGATGATGTATGAAATATGTAATAAGTTAACATGTGATATCTCTGATTGTATTAAATAATTTTTCAGCCCCGATGAAGACCCATATGTTTGGGTTGAAATGTCAGCACTAATAAAAATCTTAAAAATTACTGCTTCCTGACCACTTATCACCTTTGATTAATAGTATCTGCTTGGGAAGCAGGAAGAATAATAATTTTTATTCAGAAAAAAATAATGAAATAGTTAATTGTAACAAATGCTTTAGAGAAACAAGGAATACGAAGATAGTTAATTTTTTTTCATGTATAGCACTGGTGATTTTGATTAGGGATGAGTAACCAGGTTGGAAACCTGATTGGTGTGGATCCGTTTTTGTCAATGGTCAACTATATTCATATAATTTTGTATTAAATTATATTCCTGTTTTCTTAGTGTACCTACAAAAGATGAAAGTTTTGGAACTTGGAGGTCTTAAGATCGGAGAGATTGGAACTCAATAAAAATAAGTGTTATTTCTCCTTCCAGTTGAGGTGTCACAAGCAAGTCAAAGCAACATATCAATCATCTTCCAAATCAAAAACTAATAAAAATATATTTATAAGTGATAAATTATGCTTATAAGATGAGAAAGAGGAAATAAAATCCAGTACACATATTAACATATTTATTAAATATCCAATGCAACATTAATAAAAATAAGAATAGGATAAATAAATAATGTCATTGCATATTTACATAACGTGATTGTACACAATAAAATAATGTATGCAGTTTTAGTAACATATACCATAGAACTTTCAAAGTTTGTGAATTAAGCATGATTTTTTACTGATCAAAAAATAATACATGAACTAAAAGAATCAATTCATCAAATTACAGCCAACTAAGGCATTAAATGACTTTTTGACAACTAGAAACGGTGATGAAAATTTATGACATGTGAATTTTTTATGATCTGGACTTAAATTTGCTAGAACGTCTAGGATATGATAGCCAGTAAGTCCTGACACATGTGTTCTCAAAATTAATTTAGTTATACACTGCAGTCTGATTAAAAAAAAAAAATGTTTTGTGAGGAATAAAACCATTAGAGTTATAGAACATTTGTTCTGAATTCAATCGGATAAGAGTTGGATGGGGCATAAATATCGTTGGTTTATTGCGAAAAAATCATCATGTCATATTTCATAAAATTAAATTACATAAATTTGATGAATTTTCTCTCTACAACATATAAAAGTATTGATATTATTTTGATACAGTTACTATGCTTTGGTATCAATAAACAAGGTCGCAGAAATTCATAGAAACATAAAAGTTCAGCTCCATTAAAAATATTCTTAGTGACTTCAATAAACAAGACTATATGTGCTAATCAAAAATTTTCATTATATAAAAATATAAGATAATCAACATATTATTAAAATTTTAAAAATAAATTTAAATACTGTAAAAAAACTTCAATTAACTGAAGCAATTCAATAAATAAAAATATAACTCACAACCAAAATAAATGCACAATACTTCCAAATAATACTATTTACTTGTTCCCATTTCATTTTTTAAAAGTTAATAATAAAGAAGACAATCATACAGCCTTATTTCTCTAAAAACTAAAAATGAAGTACATTACCTCACTAAGTAAATGAGAGAGACTAGAAAAACATAGACACAGTATAGTTTTTTTTTTTTTTTTTTTTAAAGTGCTGCCTAATCATACAAGATAACTTAAAAATAATTTACAACAGTAAGTTAATATATTAATTTATTAAAATGTTAATGTTTGCTAGATATACCCTACAACTTTCTGTGTCTAAAATTTACATTCATCTTAAATTAAAATGACCATAAAACTGTTTACAACTTAATTTATTGATCACCTGAATTCAAAGCACCTTAAGTAATTAGGCTAAAATTAAAATGGACAACAGGTCAATAACTGTAAAAAATAATATATATATATAAACATTGAAAGTATTAATAAGTAAAAACTAACAATAATTCTAAAAATAAAAAAATATAACATAAATTAATAACTTCAGATCAGTGGACGGATAAAATATCTGATGAAAAGGGCTTTATTTTTTTTTATATCAAATTGATATACCACTCCTTCGAACAGCTGCACTTAAAATTGGATTGGGATCAGGTTCTTCAGTGATGATTGACACTTTTACCCATTCTTTATTGATATTAGATTTTCTTAATGCATTTATTACAGCTTGTACATAGAGACCATCTTCAAAAGTAGCTGCCAGGGCAACTGGTTCTTTAACCCAACCCCTCTTGTCTTCCACTGGAAGAAATGCTTCTCTTAAAGCTCCCATCATCTTAAATAACCCTTTCATATATGGTCGTGGAATGGTATTAGCAGCCACAGTATTCATCATAGTCACAGACCTTTGGAGGTCCTCTACATCCAAATAAATAACATCTTCTTTTTGTGATCCCTCCTTAAATCCATAAAGATCACCTCCTCTTACTATCAAATAACCTAATTTTCCACATACTAGTACTTCTTGACTGAAAGTTCCAGGAATGTGAGTATTGAGAGTAACAGTCACAATAGTTCCTTTTGACATCTGCATTTGAAATGCACAAAAATCTGAACTGGTAATATTCCTAATACCTTGAATATGTTCTGTGTTTTTAGTAAATGTACGGACCAATCCATGAACTTGTACTGCACGCTGTGTAGTTAAAAATGATACTAAATCAATTACATGACTGCCAACTAGTGTAAGGACACCTCCGCCCATTGTTTCATCACATAACCAGTCATATGAATCATGAAGTAGACTTCCCATTTGGACACGAACATCCACCACAGTGATTTCATTTTCTTGGCCTAAATAACCGTCTACTATGGCTTTTCTCATTTGTGAAAAAGCTGGAAGGAATCTTAAGCTATGATTAACAATTGAAATCAAGGAAGGATAATACTGAGATGCCCTGACCATTTTTAAAGCTTCACTTTGACATAAGCCTGATGGTTTATCACAGAGAACATGCTTCCCAATGCCTAGTGCCTTCACAGCTATTTGGGAATGTAAATTTGGAGAGCAAATAATAAATATGAGATCTACATCTTTTCTCAATAATACATCATCAATTTTGTTGGTGTGAAAGGGTATATCTAATTCCTTTGAAATTTCTTCTGCTTCTAATAAAGTTCTACCCCACAGTGCTTCAATTTTGAAACCTTTCTCTCGAAGGAATGGTACAACAACTTTAACAATATTACCTGTTCCAAATACACCGATACCAGGAAGCATGGTGACAATAAATATTCGAATATGAACTCCCTTTCACATTCTTAGACGGAATCAAATTGTAATTAGCTTTTATTAATCGCCAGGGCATAGACTGAAGAGTGATTCACGTTACTTAAATCATGTTTATGGTTAAGAAAAGCCTTTAAGATAAACATTTTATTAAAAACAGCTTCAAATGCTCATCTTCATTTTTAAAAATTTAATTTTTTTAAAAGTATTTCTATATTTAAGAAAATATTTTATATACTGCGTGTAAATAAACATTCGAACAACAGCAAGGTTCGAAAAAATAATAGACAGCATTACCTTCCATAACCTTACAAGATCTTTGGTGTTTGGTGTGTCAAGTGTACCCATGTGGATTTTGAATTGAAGTTGTTCGTAATTCTGTCGATTATTTTATAGTTAGGTATGTTTTAAATCGTTAAACAAGTTATTATATCAAGCTGAAGTGCTTAAAGATGAATAATTATCATTCTGATACTGATTCATGCTTGCATAATTGCTATCTTGGAGGTTTAACTTCTTGATTTTCATGTCAGAACATGGTTTTGATACAATCTTGTATTGGAAATATCTTTTTGGCAGATGTGGAAATCATGGAGAACAAAGTTAAAAAGTGTTTCAATAAGTTTTCTTGATTCTTACAAGTTTATTAAAGAAGGATATACAGATAATTCTTGGAACTTGCCTAAGAGGTTTACACATTCCAGCATGGATCATTCACTTCTACCCCCTTCTAATGTAAGAGGTATGAAAATATTAGATAGAGAAAAGTTTAAAAAAACCATCACTGTCCCTTGCCTATACCTACCACACAAATCAATACAAAGTGCTTCAAAATTTTTAAGAAGTTACATTCTTAAGCTTCAAAATTTTTTACCCATATCTGTTTTATCAGAGTCTATGTTAGATAAGTTAGTTAAGAATGATCTTCTATATGAAGAGAATTCAAAAATTGCGATGCTGGATCCCCGAAAAGTGAATAAGTTCAGTGATCTGCATGATGATTGTCTTAAGTTGGAAAATTTAGGTATAAATGAAAAGTTTTTTTTCTACACTGATATCAACTTGGGCTATGACAATTGGAAAGCAGATGAAATTCTCCGATCTGTGATCCCTCTGGAATTTGATGCTGTTTCTGGATATTCCTTAGTGGGGCATATAGTTCATCTTAATCTACGAGAGCATCTTGCTGAGTATAAAAAGTTAATAGGAGCTGTTTTATTGGACAAAATTAAGACTGCACGCTCAGTTGTCAATAAAGTAGATACTATAGACAACACTTATCGAAACTTTAACATGGAGTTACTTTGCGGTGATGATGAGATGGTTACCCAAGTAAAAGAAAATAGGTGTATTTTTAAGTTTGATTTTTCTAAAGTTTATTGGAATCCTAGATTGTCAACTGAACATGAAAGAATTTCAGAAGTTCTAAAAGAAGGTGATATTTTTTATGATGTTTTTGCTGGTGTTGGCCCATTTTCCATCCCTGCTGCTAAAAAAGGCTGTATCACACTGGCGAATGATTTAAATCCAGATTCAGCTAAATGGTTACAGACTAATATAGTATTAAATAAGTTGAAGGGCAACATAAATGTTTTTAACAAAGATGGCCATGAATTTATTAAACAAGAAGTGAAAAGTCATTTACTTTCACTTCAACCAGGAGATTATTCTATACATATTGCAATGAATCTTCCTGGACATGCAACAGTTTTCCTTCCTTCTTTTAAAAATCTCTTTTCTGAAAAAGAAATGCAACACATAAAATTACTTCCTATGCCCAAAGTATATGTTTATACTTTTTCAAAAGGAATCGATAATCCTTATCAAATTGCTTCAAAAGCAGTGGAAGATACTCTTAATCTTAAGTTAGACACTGAAATTTTGGAGGTATTTTTTGTAAGAGACGTTGCACCAAACAAAAAAATGATGAGAGTTACTCTATTACTTACTGATAATATTCTCTATAATAGGAAACGTGAAACAGACATAGAAAGGGAAGTAAAAAAAATATGTGTTTGAATGCTTTATTCTTTGTGTAGGTGCTATTCAGAATGAAGAAGCAACAAAAGAAGAATAATCCATTTAAGGTGAATCATGTAAGAAGCATTAAAATCAAGGCAAAAGCTCAAGCGGTAAAAGGACAGCTGAAAAAAGTAATTATTAAATCTTAATTTTTACCATATTTCTCATTATTGCTGTTGTTTTTATTAATTCTACACTAAAGTTATTAATTCATCTATGCCTCATTTTCAACAGCTGAAGGACATAGTAAACAAGAAGATTAATACAGCTGATGAAGAATTAAAAAACCTAGTTGAGGTTGTACGACAACCGAAAGTTGACGAAACTCCTATTGAAGTACCCAAAAAACCAGATAGTTTGACATCAAATGCACAAAGAATTGAAAGTTATAGACTAGCTGAACAAAATGCCGAAGAAGCTTTAAATAGACTTGAAAATTGGTCTTGTGATAAATAAATGTTTTTAATTTAAAGTTGCTTATTTCATTGTCCTCTTATTTTATTTTTTTTAAAAAGAGAATTGTTAATTATGAGGTATTGGCAAACAGTGAATATTATTTTCGAATAATTTTTTTGTTTAAACTTAGTTATAAACGTTTAACTAGTTATTTACTCGTTATCAACAAGTAATCTTGAAAATACTTTTGTTTTTGTTATTTTAATACCTATTGTGGTGTACATTTTATGAATCTAACTATATCTTCAAGATATGTTTCTTTCTTATTCATTAATTTATATTTAGTTAATTCAAAACTGATTAAATAAAATAATTTAGTTCTGGATGGTTATTCAATTAATATATATGACTTTATATTGATCCACATTTTTGAAAAAATCAAAGCATTTTTATATTCATATTAATTATATTTAGAAAATAAAAATTTTCAAAAAAAAATTGAGCAGTGTTTATATCATCCTCTTTTTTTGGTCAAAAATCCAATTTATTTTTAAATTTACTTTTATGTGATATTGAGGTTATCGTACTCAAATCAAAAATACCCATAATAGTCTTGCACCGGATAATGATGTGGGTTTCTCCCGATTTGGGGTAATATAGATCTATTCTGCTTCGGGTACTAGTGAAAGGTCATTCAAAAGATTGGGTACCTTTTCTAACCAGAGTGGAAAAGTCAAGATTCATTCCATCGATCTACCACAAAATTAAGTTCAACTTGCCCAAGCCAAATTTGAATCGGGCTCACTAGACTTGAGAATGTAAAAGTTTACCCCTGTCAGCCACATCATTATTTCTTAACTCGAGCCTAGGATTAGTCATTGTTATAGAACTTTAATCCCTAAGGTTGTTTTTGATCGGAGTTTGGGAACCTTAATTGGATGCATTAAGAAGTTGATTACTACACTCATTGTCTTCCACTGAGTTATATCATTTGTCCACTTAAGCGGGCTATCTAATGTTTATTATTATGTTTATGCACAAAATAAATTTGAACTCTTACCATTTTAGATCCACTCCTTCTAAATAATAATTTTTAAATGAATTGGTGTTAAGGTGTAGAAGATTTTCTGAGATCATAAATACTTAAAAAAACTTGATGAAGAAATAAATAGAAAAGCATACAAAGTATACTAAATGTGTAGGTGTAGTACGATATATTTTGTGATAAATTTTCATAACTGTCATTCTGGAAAAACAGCATTTGAAAATACCCTGATCTAAATTAGAAACTTAAGTATTAATATTCAATGTCATACAACTAAATTTCATTCTTTGTAATGATTTTATGTTATTTATTCTAAGTGAATAGACAGAGAATTATATCACTTTGTTAGGAGAAAACTTAAACTGAGTAATATATATTTATTTTATTTAAAGCACCTTGAAGATTTTCAAAGATTGGTTGAGATAGTTTTCTCTATATATGTTTTTAATGGAGGTAAATCCTATTAACAATATTCTATCATTTGTATTATTATATCTATTTCTGTCTTAAGAGATTTTCATTTCCTGATATCCTTGGTTTACATTTTCACTTATTTCATAAATTTATTTTGTTAGAAATATTTAAAATAGAGAAATTGAATCTATCATGGGCCAAGATGCCAACACGGGCTCATGACCACCACCTTTCCTGCCATAGTTTATTTTATTACATTGTAAAATTTACAATGTTACAAAATAATAATCAGATGTTTTTAAAAAATAATGGATTTTTTAAATAATGGATACGCCTAAAAAAACTCAATATTTTACAAAAAAACAAAAAAAAAAAACGTAAATATAAATAGTGTATAATTATATAAATTTCTCTTGTTTTAAATAAATTGATTATGACTACCATCGTTAGTAAGTAATGTGTATGTTGTTATCATGAACTGGCTAGAACTAGGACTTCATGAAAGAGTCTTTGTGGATCTTAATATTTAAGGAGCAGGCAATGAGGCTCGAATAAAAAGGTTGGAGATTCCTGTTCAAATAAAATTATTTATCTTTTTTTATCATTTCAAATATCTCTGTGGGATAATTTACTACTGCTATCTGAAGGCTGTCTCCATTTATGACATAGTGTAAAGACCAAATTTAGTGTCTTTGGATCCTCATCCCAACAGTTTACTGTCACAACCTCCTTGGTATTGTGTTCCTAATTTGTGTGACTAATTGGGACACCTGTTTTATACTTGGGGTCCATTATGATAATATTTAGTGTTATTTATAGATGAGATTCCATGACAAAGTATTTATTTGATTTTCATGTAATAAAAATCAAAACTATGGTTATAGAATGGATGACACCTATATGGACCCCTATAGTATTGGATGCAGTAGACCATTTTTTTCTGTAATAAAATTGAATTATTATGTCATCCATATCTGTCAATATAGTATCCATACTTTGCATTAATATTATCTGACAGCTTATTTACTTTTATTTCTATGAACTTAAGTAATTCTCAATAAATAAATTTTAAAACTATTAAAAATTGAATTCTCTTGTCATTTTTTGATCAATATGCAGAATATTTATTCTTTCTAAAAATAAAATGTTCAATATTTGAAATACTTTTATGTTTTTATTTAACAAATCAATTATAGTTATCAAATACATTTTTCTCTATTGCAAATGTATTAAATAAAATATTTAGTTGTGTTTCTTTAGTAACTCAAGGGACATTAGTTATTTTTATTAAATCAGACTGCAATTTTTTTATCAGTCCATTAACCAAAGTTGACCACAATTTCTGCAGTTTTATATTTCATATTTGCTCTATTTCAAGTATAAATGGCTATTATTATTCTTTTTAATTTTTTATATTCATTTAACATTTTGTTATAACATGTTAAGTTTTAAAATTAAAAATGATGAAATTGTTTAGGGACTTGTAAAATGAAGACAGCTGGTATAATCGTTATCGGTGATGAGATATTGAAGGGTCAAGTAGCAGATCAAAATATAGCTTTCCTTGCTCCAAGGCTTCATAATCTTGGTATTAAGTTGCGAAAAGTTTCTATCATATCTGATTCAGTTGAAGAAATAGCTAAGGAAGTAGCAGAATTTTCTTCCAAATATGATACTGTTATCACAACAGGAGGTAGATTCTTAAATATTTATCAGTGTGAAGTCTTTAGTTGTAAACATAAAGATTAATTAATGTTTAAATATTGATTTTTTTTCTATTATGGTACGGATTTTAAGTATATGCATATAAGGATTGTTATTTGGCATATTTGAGTGACAACCTCCCTTGACAAAAGCAATTTCATGCTAAACATATCTTTTAAGTTTCATATCTTTAAGGATTGTATAGAGAGGAATTTAATGGTTTAGTATAGCCCCAAAGCTCGATACCGTTATTATTATTATAGTAATATGTATGAGTCTTTAGTAAATAATTAGAAGTTTAAAGTGTTTGTCTAGTCAGTGCTGTAGTAGTCGAAAACATCGAGCAGTTTCTAATCATTTCAGTCTGGTATGAGGATTCCAAGTGAGTTGTTTGTCCAGGTGGAGTCCTAGGTATCGAATTTGTTCAACAGGGTTTAGTGGGGTGTTGTTAAAGGATACTGTAGGACAGGAAGTCGTAGGCTTATGACGAAGGGTAAAGGTAATTTGATGGGATTTATTTTAATCCTCCAGTTTTGACACTATTCTTCAAGACTTGTGATGTGTGATTAAAGAGTTTGGGATGCAATTGATGGGTCGTTATTAACTAATAGGATACAAGTGTCATCGTCATAGGTGGTGATGACAGTGTTGGGATGTCAGCTGTATAAACTGTGTAAAGGATAGGACCTAGGATACTATCTTGAGGAACACCAGCAAACTGAGAGAAAAAGAGATGAATAAGCATTGTTGTGATTTATTTTAAAGTATCTGTAAGTAAGGGAACAGATAATGAGGAAGTATGTAAGTGGTAGGAATTAACGGATTCTGTACATCAATCCCGGGTGCCAGACTCTATCAAACGCCTGTTAAATGTCGAGAGACTCCCATGGAGTAAATTCCGTGCTCCAATGCAGAGGAGATTACGTCCACCACACAATGACATTGCTGGATAGTGGAATGAGATGTGGGGAATCCAAATCGGTGGTCTGGGATTGTGTGATTAGAATCTAGGATGGGATGTAGGCATTTTAAGATTTCCAGGATTATTTCCATGATGGGTATTCTGGTGGTTTTTTGGGTTTATATATCATTTTAATAATTGATAGTTTCCAAGGGTTAGGAAAATATGTCGATCAGAGTACAGTATTATCTAACATGATATGAAATGTAATTTTAGAATGATTGAGAAAAATATGGGTTATGGTTTGGTAATCTTCAAATGTTCATGCATGTTAATAACCAGATTTTGTTTGGTTCTCTCATCAAGAATATTAAGTCAGATTTTGGAAACTATTTGGGTAATATTTTTTTTAATTAAGTAATATTTTTTTCAATCAACTCACTATTGAACTTTGGTGGACAGGAATAGTTGTCAGTGTAACATACACTGGCAACATTCTGCCTTTTGAAAATTTGATCTGTTAGATATATATTCTTTATTTCCAGCCCAACTTTGTGAACCATAAATGGATATTTTAACTGTAAGAAAAATTGTTAACAGTTAGCAAAGTTCGGTTATAGCCTCATAAAGATATGCATTGTTTATAACTATAGACTAGTTTAAATTTCGTAATGTTAATGAATAGTTATGATACAATAAATAATGCTCAAAAAAAATATAAAATAATAAAGCATAGCATTGTCAGTTTATCACAATAAGTTACTAAGTGTATTTTTGATGTTGGTTAACTTTCAAGTATGTTTTTTTTGTGAATTTTGACATTATTTATAGATAGGTAAGTGCACAATAATGATACAAACCCTTTTATTTATCATATTTAATTACACTAAGCGCACAATGTTCTGATTTCACTAAGGGAAAATTCATTAAAGTGCGTAGTGATTCAATTTATCGAATGCTACTTAGTGACTGCTATAAACCCACGATATATAATGAACAAAACTTTAAATAAAATAATAAAGTATGTGTATGACATAACAAAAAAAAAAAAAAATAGAAATTACAAAAAATATTTATTATAGAATTCACATTAGAATGTGCTTGCATAATTTTGGGTTTCAGTTTACATGATAATATTGGAGTTGTTTTGTTGAAAGTTTTGTACCTTTAACTGCTGGTGACAGGAAATGATATTTGATTATTTCATATAAACCAAAGGGCATCTACTGCATTTCCTATGATCTTATTTAAAAATTTTTTTTTTTTGTTCCTCAAACTTCACAACTGTACATCAATAATGATCTTAATATTGTTTTGTAAATTAGGATGGTTAAATCTGGTTTTAGGCTAGATTTCCTGTTGGTGGTGGGATATAACATTGCCAATCTTCCGTAGGTCTTTTTTTTTTCTTTTTTTTTCTATGTCCTTCCCTTCCTCGCCGTTAAGGCTATACGGGATTTTCCCGGGCCAGGGAGTGTGGGCGGGGATTTAAAAGACTCCCCCGGCACCGGGACGCGAACTCGTGACTATTTTTATATCTTTGATTCATATATCAGGTTGCCGGGCAATGGCGGTGCAGTGCACACGCTTTAGCCCATTCGGCCACCCCGCCCACTCTTCCATAGGTCTGTATTAGTTTAAAATTGATGTGATCCAAGTAAGGCTATGATCAAGGAGAACATCAAGTTACATTAATGCTCCATTGGAGGGATCCCATGATAGCTTGTTAATGTCGAGGACCAATTCAGGTGGGTTAACCATTGACGTTAAATTCAGAAGTGCATTTAATTTATTTTTAAATTTTCATCATGGTATTAAACAATCATTTTGGGTTTCCAAAATCTGACTCCTACTATTTTATTAGTGTCCTGAATAAACCATGATACTAGCATGTAAACTAAAAGGATTTATGATCCTGATTACTGACCATCTTATAAAGTATTACTCTTTTTCTCGATTGCTCTTTGACAGAATTTCATCCAGTGGTAATTCTGCCATATTGGATTCCTGAGAAGGATAGATTTTAATATATCTATACTTTATTTATTTTTTGAAGGAATGGAGTGGTTCAGTGGTAGTGGTTCAATGCTTAAGGTCCCATGTTCAAATCCCGTATTGTGGCAGATAAATTATTTATTTTGTTTCATCGCTTGTGGATCATGCCTGGGGTCAACAGATCCTCCTGGGGCACACTCAACCTCTATAAAGTAGGTACCCCTAATTAAAGGGGAAAACCTGACTGTTGAGCATAATGTCAGTCAAAATCACCTCCTCGCATAACCATTGACCAATAAATAGTACTAAACCCAAAACATTCATAGGTTGTAGTGGTACAAGTTTTTTCTTTTCTTTTTTTTTATGTTTTGAACTTCAACTTTGAGAAAAGTTTATAATTTAAAACTGATTTAATTGTTATTGGCAAGATTTATTTTTAAATTTTATTCCACTACTTTTTAAAATTCTAATTAACTTGATTATTATTGTTATTTTATAGAAAAAAAATAAGTCATATTAATATTAAGAAAATAATTTTTGGAAAAAGAATAAAAGTATGGTATATAAAAAAAAATATTTTACAAGTTTCTCACATCTACAATTTATTTTTTAAATATTATGCAGGTGTTGGTCCAACACATGATGATGTAACTTACGAAGGTGTAGCAGCAGCTTTTGGAGAAAATGTTGTTGTGAGTCAAGATATAGTAAAGTTTTGGTCCTATTTCACTCAAGATCCAGAAGGAAAGAATGCTTCCACTATAAGATTAACATCAATACCTAAATCAGCTGTGGTATTATATCCAGATGTACCTAAAACGTCTGTTACAAAAGGGCAGTTTCCAGTTGTTACTATGAAAAACGTTATTATATTTCCAGGAGTGCCGAAATTTTTAAAAATAATATTCAGTGCACTTGAAGGAACTTATTTTTCTAGTCATGGTGTAGTTTTCTTCAATAAAACCATTTATTTGAATGCTTCAGAGCAGGTAAAGTAATTTAGTTAAATTTTATTTATAAATATCCGAGGTTTTAGATGGTTTAACGACCCAAGAGTTATCGTTAGGCATAGAAAAACTATAGTTTAGATTTAAATACAACCTTAGAGTGTTACTAACTTACTTTAGTTCATTGAAGACTTGACAGCCGAGCATGTTGGGGTGGGAGTCTCAAAGTGTCCAGTTCAGGGTGCTGTTGATCCGATTCTCATCTGGGTCAGTTAATATTTATTTCTCAGCAGCCCTCCCACTCTGGTTACACAAAGCCTACTTATTGGACTAGTTCCTCCAGTACCAGTACTTGTACTTTCCTCAACTTATCTTTATAAAAATCTTTATATAATCAATATAAAGCAATGTATATATATATAAAGCCATGGATAAGTATTGTCTTATAAGGAAAGAATTGCTTACATTTATACGTAATTGTTGCAACAACCTGTTATTGAATCTAGGCCATCTCAAGCAGCCTCCAAAAAAAGTTTCAATTCTCAACAGTAGTTGCTGAATATAGTAGTTTTTAATGTATTCTAATGACAGCAAAAGAGTGTCTTCCCATAGGCTGCCAACTTATTCTAATCAAGATGAAGTCTATGTTTGATGTTTATGAAATGAAATGAAAATATATTTTATTATTCTGGGACTGTTGTCCCTTTAAAACAAATTATAAGTACAGAATGCATATCTGTGTGGTCATAAATAAATTAAATATTTACAATAATAGTTAGTTAAAAGTAAAAATATAGAAGAAAGAGAGAGGAAAAGAAAAGAAAACTACATATTTATAAAACAAACATAAAACACTAAAATAACAGAAATTGGCAGACTGCGTAGAATAGCCAGGCCTGATACTGGACTGGTAGAGATTTAAGAGATTATTGTGCTCTAAAAAATGGGATAGCTGGGATTGGACTAGTCGTCCTAAAGGTTCGGAGAGGTTTGAAATAAGGATAATTGGATGGAAATCATTAAGAGTTGATGGGTTAGAGGACCTCTTCCAGGGGCGAACTAGGGCTGTTTTCCAGGATGTAGAGAAGTAGCATTTTGAAGACAATAATTATAGATATGATAAAGGATTGGAAGAATGGATGGCAGCGCGGCTTTAATCATTCTGACTGGGATGTTATCGGGACCATAATCGTTGGTATGGGACTTTTGAATGGAGTTAAGATCATCAGAGGTAATGTGGGAAAAAAAGAAGTGATCAGAATTGAAAGAGGAATACATAGGAGCCATTTATAATGTATGTATCATACCAATTTATTTATTATTGCAGCATATCAATTATATTATATTGCTACATATCAATCAAGAGGATTAATTAATACAATTTTTAGACTTAAACTTCTAATTATCTGTTTTAAAAACAATCAATATTTACTTTAAGAAAACTAAATTTGACAATTAGACAACTCAATTTTAGAATGGTGAGTATACTAAATCAGTTATGAAACTTTGAAGGACGATTTCAATTTTTGTCAAACTCATTTTGTTTTTTTTTTAGCAATTTTTTTTCCAAAAGTAACTACTGCTTTTGAAATTGTAATATTCCCACCTACTTAATATTTATTATTATTGTGTATTTATTTCTCAAAATAAATGTCTATAAGAACTAATGTTAAGGGATACATTTCAATTTTGAAAGAGTGACCCCAACATTAATGTTAGGTAAAATTTTATAAGTTATATAAAATTCGAAGCTAAACAAAAGAATTTTAAAAACATAGGGACAGTGTCAGTACTGTTCCAGGCTCAAGCCTGGTTTATAGAAAAATCTTTTCTGATCCCCTTTTTTAAAAATGAATAAAAACAAATTCCGAGGATCAACTTGACAATAACTGTTTTTTGAATTTTTCATCTATAACATATATCAAAAAAATGTGATCAAATGAGATCAATTTCATTTAAATATAAATTATTTACGCATACAAACCCATTAGTTTAAATTTGTGATCATAATCTAGTCTTAGCAATCCTTAATAACTAAAACATTCCTCAAAGGCATGTGATGACCTGGCAGGACTTTCTAACATATGTTAATCATTGTTGAGCTTTCTCCACAATTATGGTATAATAATCTGAATAGCACATTTATAGGTTGTTTTGTGAAAGTACATTTATAATTTTTCAATTAATATTTGTTAAAAATTATTTCTTATTTAACAGTAGGTTGAAGAAGGCTCTTCTATAGTTTTTCCATATTACATGAGATTTTTATGAAATTTTAATTGCTTGGTTTCTCTTAAAATCAGTTTATTATTTATTATATTATACTAGATAATAAACTATGATGAGTATCAATAATACTAATGAAGAGGAAGTGGTTTTAAAATATCTCAATTTCTAAATACAGGTTAATAGTTTGTGATTCTTAACAAAGGCTTTAGTCTCTAAAAAAGCATGTAATAAGTATCAAACGTTTCCCCAATTATCATCAATCAGGAGATCAAACCACAAAATGAAAAGACGTAGCGCATCTCAGGTCACCACTCTCATGAAGACTAACCAGGTGGTGATAGCAAATCTTACCTCAACAGTTCCAACTGTACTTTTAAAACTTACACAGTTTTCTCTGGTAAGAATTTGGAATCACCAAAAAAAAGTGCAGTATAGGCTGTCAAAATATTTGAAAATGCTTGAATTGTTCATAAATAAAAAAAGAACATGATTTGCACAATATCATTATAATAAAATTTAAATAAATTGAGAAGAATGCAGCAGAATCTTGAAAGTTATTTTTATTATATACTTATATAAAGAGGAGAGAGACTGCCAATCCTTGTTGGCAATTTATAATGTATCACACTTATCTAATGAGGGTGGAAGTACGATTTATTTTGTTGGATAATCATATTAAAATATGTAAAATAGTCTATCATCATAAATCATCAAATATTAACTTAACCAACTAGGAATCAAATGCAGACTGGGTACACTGAAATGTTGCTATTGGATATTAGGGCCTCCAAAACAATGGTTAAATACAAGACTCATCTAGGGTGCCCATCCCCCCCCCCTCTAGGCCAATGGCGCATGCCTCCCAAAAAAATATTATTGTCCCTCTCACTTATATAATTAATATATATCTATAGGAGATGTTATATCTACGTTAGTTTAAAACATAGTTGATATAATATTGTTTTGTTTCTCGAAAATATTATGAAGGCAAAATGAATTAGGCACTTACAATCAACAAGTAACATCCGTATTAGTCATATAAAGGCCGAATAGAGTATAAATACTTTTACTGCTAATATCACTGTCCATTCCAATTCCCTCCTGGCATCATATGCTTAATCTTGTTGGAGGTAATAGGGAACTTTGATGAGATTTTAGAAATTTTTTATTGATATTACACAGGGAATTCTGAATGGGAGGACAGGTAGAAATTAAGGATTGGAATCTATAGGTGGCTAATTTCAGCTTTAATTGTTTGCAGTAATAGTTGTAGAAGCTGCGATTGGCGGGATGCCTGGTGCGTTGCAATAATGATATGGCACGGCCTTATAATGTATCATATTCAGGAAATTTCGAGGTAAAGTATTTTCACCTAGAATTCTGGAGAACTCGAATGTGGAGAAGGCAGTCCAGACGACTTGTTGGATAATACTAGTAAACGATAATTTAATGTCATTTGTGTCCGAAAGGATGTGACGAAAGAGGTTCCATCTAACTAGACTTCTAATCAAAAACAGTGGTAAAGATTTGTATTAGTTATGGATCGGTTAGGAGGGCAATATGCTGAGCAAGTGTGAATGAAAAGCAGCAAATCTTGATAAATACAGTGGTGGCTTATAGAAAATCATGAATAGCCTTAGGGAGCAAGTGATGAGAAAGAGGATGATGAACAATGACAGCAGTACCGGCATGTGCTCTCCCGCAAGTTTGGTCGATTCGATATGCCAAGTACAGCGTTATTTTGAAAAACTTTAGAGATTAATCGAGTTCATATCAACAATTTTTTCAAGTAATAAGGTTTGAGAAGTTAGTTTGTCATTATGATTTTTAATACCATTCGCATTAGGAAGGAGAATGCATATTGATTTTTTTGAAGTTATTTAAGAATTTTTTAAAAAAAGGGCAAGGTGAAATACTTAAATAATAAGTGTTATCAGAGGAGTAACAAGTGGTTTGAATTCAAATAGGAATGAAGTTAATAAACTGGTATGATCTGTGGGTATTTGATGAAGGGGGAATATGAGAATTTTATGTTTAAGTTGAGAATTAGGTATATTTTGAATAATAGGATGTTGAGCTTGAAGCTGAGGATGTTGTGGTATATGTAGTAGTAAGGCCTCATATCTATTGCTTTTGCTTCCACCTCTGACTAATTGTGCCAATGACACCACTGAGCCCACAATTTTATAAAATTCTCTCCTTGATCACATTTTTTCAACTTTGATCCAGAATATCTGTTGTCTAGATTTGAGATAATCATATATTTGGCAACCTTTGTGGTCCGATAGCCCTCCAGGTGTATGACACAAACTGCAATATTTTGTGTTGGTTTGGTTTACTCACCATAATGTCAATCTTCATTTTTGGACTTTTTTCCCACTAGATTTGTAATTGGCACTACTGTGGGACATTGCTGATGGAAACCCGTCCCTTTATAGCGTTGTGCATTGTCTTCACTTTTTTAAAAGTTATAACCAAGAGATATTTAGTTGTTGACAATATTCCAAGGGACCATGTTAGACATAGGCAGTATGTAGAGGAAGAAATATTTTTTTAAAAAATATATAGAAAAACTAACTTAAAATTAACAAAAAAAAAACTTTAGAAATCATTAAATATTTTAAACATTACTTCATAGAAAATATTTATGAATCCTTTGTATTAATTAGGCGAGATAACCAGAAATAAAACACATTTAGTAAAGCGATACCTTACAAGGAATGATCTCAAACATTTCTCAGTTAACAATAAAAAAATTAAATTATTTCTAACAAGCTTTATATTTATTTATTTAAATTTCGTTGGCAGTATTTTGAATTTATAGCAAGTGAGTTGGCCAAGCTTTGAAAAAAAAAAAAAAAAAAATTTTTTTTTACTAAGCAACATAAAAATTTGGATTTTTATAGTTAGCATAACATGTGATGCACCCAGCAAATTATGACACGCTTTATTCAGAAAAAAATAAACTGTAGAAGATTATTTCAGCTCGTAAAGTGTTTGAGAAAAAATATTTTAAACAAACATTATTTGTTTCGTCATAGATAATTGTATTTGTTTTAAACATCAATTAGCCGTGAGATTGTTCAGAATTTTTCTTAAAAACTATAAAAGTGAAAGTATAACAACTCTATTTTCACTTGGACATTTTCTAAAGCTGTTAAAGCTTTGTCAGGATTCATAATGTCAAATTACCGAAATGCTGGATTATTGGAGGTATTTTACAAAAAAAATTAATCTAATAATATCATATAATTAAATCAATATGAACCATTATTATAATACGAAGAAAATATTTTACACAATAAATTAATGTAAGAATAATCCACTTCAAATTCAAAATTAAAATGTACTGTTGAATGTAATCTCATACATTAAAACCAATTAAAACATGCCAGAAATCAAGGGCGTATGCAGCTTTCATTCAGAGGGGTCCAGTACGGATATTATTTTTTGAAAAAGTTTATTATATTACAATTTATAAATATTTTTATATGAAATACAATATATATGTACATAGAATAACAATTTAAAAAAATTAATTTATTGAATTTTCGGCAAACTTTTTCTATTATATAATGTTTTATTTACTTTCAAATTATTTAAGGTGGCATCATCGGCCCCTTGCTCTCCTCTGTGTAAGCCCATGCCAGAAATTCATCATCATTTTATAATTTTGTTTTAAAATATTTTTGACTTTTAAATAACAATCTCACCTGAAATAATTGCAAGAACGGTGTCAAAAGAGGCATTTTTTTTAAAAATAGGATGGGACGATTAATTTGAGGATGGGGAAATCAGTCTTCTTTTGCCACCTCTTTAGTACCATCAGCATGAAGGAACATCCTCGGCCCATCTCGTCCACTGATCCCTGTTATTGGCACTCCTTCTCATATGCACCATGGTGCTGGCTCGCCCGAGTCTCTCCATGTAGTCACAATACAATAGCCTGGGCCTGCCTCTAGGTTGCCTTCCCTCTGGTATTGCTTCTAGGAACCATTTTGCCTTTTGGTTATCACCCATCCAGTACACATGGCCAAACCACTTCAGTTAGCGCTCCTCCATGACTTGTTTTACAGGCCATATATTCAGTTCCTCTCATTCCTCCAGCGGTCTCTTCGTGTTTTCCCAAGAACTCCTGAGGTATCTCATTACTATGGCCATTACTTTGCTTACATGTTTCTCTAGGACCAACCAACTCTCTGCACCATACAAAAGGACAGTAAAAATACTGTTTTAAACAAAGCTATTTTCGTTTTCTTCTTTACTTTCCGTTTTCCTAATATTGTAATGCAGATAGCATTGGCCTTCTTGACTCTATTTAAAACCTCCTGGTGGAGCCTTCCCATCTCTGCTGAAAATCATGCCCAAGTGCTGATAGTGTGCTCAACAACCACTCTTAATAAGAAAATATGATCCTGGGTTTACCTCCCTCGTCTAAAACCAGCCTGCTTCTCTTGCAGATCATGCTCAACCAATCTCCTAACCCTCTGTTTCAATATTCTTGTTTATAATTTATATACCACAGAGGATAAGCATATTGGTCTATAATTCTCTCATTTTATCTGGTTCTTGTAAATTGGAATTACAATATTATTTTCCCCAGTCCTGGGGTATTTCCTTTTGCAACTAGATCTTTTGAAAGAGGTTTTGGAGGCACTTGACCATTTCTTCTCTTCCATATTTGATTAATTCTGGCATAATATTATACCTGCTGCTTTGCCCAACTTTATTTTATCCATAGTCAAGGCAGTATCATCTTCCACTATAATATCATTCTCACTACTCTCCACCTGGTTTTCACAGATTCTAGGTCTTCTATGGCCATCATATTGAGGATATTGTCTGTATTTCTGGAGGGGAAAAGTAGTCTGGTAGTTTCTTTCCTATTCAGTTCCTTTCACTCATGATAATTTTTCATAAGTTTTTTATTTGTTACTACTTTATTTTAAATTCGTTCCATGTCCCATATTCAAAGGTAAGGCATTAGTTGTATTTATTATATACACACAATAAAAGTACCACATGCCGATCTTTCAAACAAGTGGCGCTCTTAGATGCTGAAACTGGAAATACGGAAGACAATGCTCCACTTGTGTTGAGTACTTAGAATAGTCATATATGCGGCTTCCTTAGATTTTTTTAATATACATGTTAACCTCAGAATGTTGTTTTTTTCTTTATTTCCTGGTTTAAAAGTTGTCTTAAAATTTAAAACTTAATCTACCTCTGCCCCAAAATTTTGATGAAACTCCCCTCTGGGCACCTCTTATTGATTTTAGACTTCAAATTTATTAGAAATTCCATTTTGTTATTTACAAAATGATCACAGTAATGCATTTTTCAAGAAATTTGACTTATCTATCTTCTATATATAAAAATAAATGTATGTCTGTCTGCCCGTCTGTTTGTCCTTGGTGCATTACTATACCATTCATCCGATCGCCATGAAACTTTGGGAAGTTGTTCTGTACATTCCTGGGAAGGTTTCTGGAATATTACTTCTGTCTTATGATAATTTTATATATGTAAAAAAAATAAAAATGTAAATGTTTTCTGTTTAAAGCTGCAAAAAAATGTGCCGCTATAAGCTGTAGTGCCAAAACGGCTTTACCGATTTTAACGAAACTTGGCTAAAGTCTTCCCCTTGAAACCCTTTTCATTTATGTGTATAACATACTTTCTCGAAAACAAGCTGAAAAATGTTATGATGAATTCAATATTTTATTTGACGATAACTAAAAAAGTACAGAATTTTTGACGAATAATAACCACATTTAATTGAAAGATTCTTGATTTGCCGAAAAAATAAAAAAAAAAACCATCGAAATCGGACAGTTCATTGCAGAGTTATAGAGTTTTAAACATTTACTGCTTTCTCTTCAGAAAAGGCCGTTTCCTTTTGCTTCCTCACTACCGAACGTCGGCAAGCATTTTTTTTTTTTTTTTTTATTGATTAATCGAAAATTTGATAATTACTACAGTAATTGAAATTATCATTTGAAGAATGATATATATATATATATATATATATATATATATATATATATATATATATGATTCTCATTATGTAGGTCAATACTATAATACTTTTTTAAATTAATTGTTTATTTAGTTTTATAAGTTCAACTCAGACTGTTTCTGATGATTATGAATGACGGCGTATTCTTTCAGATGATTATAAATGTTCAATTTGAATCATTAGAAAAGAAATCATTAGAATTAGTTTCAATTGAAGCCATTTTACAGACAAATTTGTTTCCCAACTTTTCAAAAATGACAGATGTCCTTTGCTACTAATCTACTCATATGTGCTTTTTATTTTATTTCCTTTTCATTCTGCCAGGCTAAGCCACAGCAGCGCGTTTCTGGGTAAAGCTAGTCATAAATAAATTTTAATTTTTTAAAGTTTACTCAAGACTGTAATGACATTATTAGTTCTAAATCTATAGAAAGTGTTATGAGGAAGGTGGTGCCTCCCTATATTAAAACTACATGAAACATTAATATTATTATATGATGAAGATAATAAACAATGGAAATGAAAGTTTTACTCAATATTAAAAGTTATTACTTCTATAGAATTAACCATTCTTTAGAATTTGTATAATCCTTACTTTTTGTGTTTGTCTGTCCCTTTTGACTTACCAATTATCACACATAGTGGTTAAAAAAATATTTGTTTTTTTTTTAGTAAAATAGTCTGTCTTGATAAATCATAAAACCTAGCCACATTGGTTAGCTTAAAATATTTATTTCCATTAAAATGTTAGGAATATATAATAAGGTTGGAGAGTTAAAAGTTTAACATTTATCATTTTAAAAAAATATGTGATCGAGAGTACTTATACAGTTCTTATCAACTATTTTAAGTTCATAATAAAATTTTTAGTGTTTTAATGGGTCTTATGTTATTTAGTACACTTCTATAAGTTCATAAAATAACATGAAAATGTGTTTGTTTTTCATTTTAAAATCATCTGTTACTAAATGATATTGATGGAATTTTTATTTAAGTGAATATCATGTAACCTTTCCAAAAATAAACTAATCATTAAAAAATTATCTGTCAATTTGTGCTTCTATCCTTTAGAAATTGGAAGTAACATAGATATTGTATCTTCCTGAACAAATTATAATTTGATTTTCAGCTATTTTTATGAGACCAAGTAAAATTTCTATATAGTATATATATTTTTTAAAATACATTCATTTTAATTTAAGATATAGTTTGTTTGTTGTTCTAGAAAGAAATTGATATTTTGTATAAATTACTTACTTTATATTTGGTTTTCATTTTTCCAATGAAAATTAACATTATTTGCTTAATCTATTTTCTATTATTATTTTTAGTATAGCATTTTCTTTTATAAATTAACTTAACTGAAGGAAAATTAAGCACATGTATTTTTTTGTATTTAATGCAATTTTATTTGACATAAAATCTTATAATTTCTAGACTTATTGTGAATTAATGTGCTTAGCGATTCTTCAAAGTTTAGATAATAGAAAAATATAATGCTGCTATATAATTTTTTTATTTCAGCAAATCACAGATGTTCTAAATGATGCTGTACAAAAGTATAGTCCAGGAGTGCAATTTGGCTCATACCCCAAGTATGATAATGACTATTATAGAGTTTTAATCACATTAGAATCTGAAAGCATGGTTGATGTGAACAAAGCTCATGATTATTTGGTTTCACAATTGGATGAAAAGTGGCTAGCCAAAGATGGGGATCTTCTGGGAAATGCTTATAAAAATACAATAAACTTCATTAATTCAAAGAAATTAAATGGTTTTGGACCTATACTGGAAAAATCAATTCAGGTATCCAGGTATTTAAAATTACAAAAAATCTTTTGATTTGGGTTATCTCAAAGTTTGTTGGTTTGAGTTTATCTATAAGTCCTGGATATTGGATTTTTATTTTCCTGCTAAAAAAAAAACAAAAAACAAAGTAAAGCTGTTATATCAATCTAGGGTTGCACTACAAGAGTTATTTATTTTTTATTAAAACACTTAAAATTATTCAATTTTGTTTAATTATATGGTATTAAAATTGGCAATTCTCAGTGTACTAACAAATTTTGAAAATCAATCTTTAAAAAATTTGAGTTTCTCTAAAGTGGTAATTTTTTAAAAATGCGTTTAAGATGTTACCCCGATGATCTTCTCAAAGATTCTTTGTGTTTTGTGGTGTGTAGTATTTCTCCCGATTTTTTTTTTTGTGTGTGCAATACAGTAAAAAAATATTCATCTCTAAAATCTTGTACCAAAAATATAATAAGAATACTTTTATTTAATTGAAACATAATTATATACACTTTTATCATCGCTTTATTTTCACATCCATTTTTTTTTTTTTAATGTGGGTCTAAAAAATAAATCTGTCCCGGGCAGGGGTGCCCATCTCCCCCAAGATTGATATTGTGCATATATCCCCCCCCCTCCCCTTTTCACAAAATTTTATTGCTCTCCTGTTCTTAAAAAAAAATGTAGGTGAGAGAAGAATTAGAAAAATGTAGATCACATATAATTACACTTGCTGTGGTCTCCTCCATGTTTTTACCCTTGTTTTCTGGTTTAAACTTTTCATTCCAAAAATTCAACTCTGTTCCTTCCTCAAAAATTCCAAACCCAAAATGTGCCTCCCTCAAAAATTTTAATGGCGCAACTTGTGCCATAGAACCCCCTTCTGGACACCTCTGGTCCAGGATTCCAGATTGTCATTGATGTCAACACAGAAAACAAAACATCAGTTCCATAGGACATTTCTGTTACGTTCCTGATAGGATTTTACCAATGAATCACTAAACAATATTTACGAAGGATATCCAAAGGCCAAGAGTTTTCATTTTGGTTATGGTACTGAAAAAGAAATCTTGGGACACACTTTTTTTCATAAAATAATTTTAGACCCTGAATTTGAGCAAAACCGTAAATTAAATATTGAAACCTATTGGAAGGCTTGATTTTTAAAAATTTAAATATAAATCACACTCCTCATTGATAATTTGACTAAGAAAGTTATTAACTAAAATGTGGAATAGTTACAGGTCTGAAATTGTTGCTATTTTTAATATCAGAACTAGCCAAATACATAAATATTGTCACTTTTTTTGTTTTCTTTAGTGGCGTTCCAAGCCTTTAAATGTTGAGTAGCTTGTATAAAGAAATTAAAAAAATTACAGTTAGTAAAGGCTTGCGACTTCCATATTGGCAAGTAATCTGAGAATGATCCGTGTTCATTTTGTTAAATATTTTGTTTCCACGGTAATATATCTTTAATTTGTCAGTTTACATTTATGTATCTACCTTAGTGTATTTCAGGTTTATAATCGTATTGTTTTATTAAAGTAATATTTGGTAGTTTTAATACTTAATAAAATTTGCTTATTTTAATTTTATGACTTTTGGTATATGATTAAAAAGATAAAACAGAAATAAAAATTTTTTGTTATTGGTTTTACTTACTAAATAAATTATATTTACTGTAAATTAATTTTTTTTTTTTTGGACTTGTGTTATTAACTTTAATCAAATTATGTATTATCATAAATTCATTCTGTTGAAGTTTTTTTTTTTTTTTAATATTCAAGTTTGTGAAGAGGGGTCCTGTAAGAATCACAATAAATTCAGTAGATGTTGATTAGTCATAGAAGGTGAAAGTGCCATCATCACTGTTTTGTATTGTTTCCATGACAACTCCTAAATTTATAGAGTAGAAATCTTCATTCCTTGGTCTCCTCAGATGTCTTTTGAATACTTTCCCTTTTGACTTAACAAAGTTTTGTTAATTAACCTTAATCTTTTAGATTATTTTCCAAGTAATTATAATTGCTTTACTCTTCTCATTCATAATTGTCTTTCTAAACATTTAATTTAAGTGTTTGTTTAGATCAGTATATTTAAAATAACTTTTATTTCTATTTTGTATAATAATAGGATTTTGACCAGAGCTTTCAACGGTAGGTTATTAACAACTTTATGTAATTACTTCACAACATAAATGTTTAAGTTAGTACTGAATTTTTAAATATTCTGAATAGAAACCTTCTAGATTATAAAAGGAAAACACTTAAACCCCTGTATTGAATTTATAGATGTTGAATTGTGTTTATTAATGATATTGAATCTGTATTAGAAAAAAATTATTGATTGAAATTTGTAAATACTCATATTCAAAAACAAATCTCATTAAAATATATTAATTGTAAATATATTTTTGAAAACAAAAATATGGAAATAAGTTTTTAAAGAATCGCTGTATATCCGCTATTGGTGGATATATTTATTTATAGTTTTTATTTAAATAATTTGCTAATAGAAGTATAAGTGGAACAATGTTTACCATAAAATTGTGCATGTGTTTATTGATCAATTATTTTTTTCTTGAATTATGAAAAAATCCTTTACGGCTAAAGGTTTAACTTTAATTGAAATGGTTCCTATAATATACAATCTAGATATACGTGTAAATAGTTGGATTAACCTATCAGCAGTATAAGCCAGTTCTTAGGGCATCAAGCAGAGGGGACACATATATCCAACCTTTTTCCTCGAAAGAAATTATTTAATAAATATGACATTTCAAAATGCTATAAGCATGCAGATTTAATGAAAATACATTTTATTTTCATGTTTGTTAATTTTCCATTAACACCAAATTTTTCGAGTAAGGCTTTTTAAGTTCTTAATCCAAATCTGTATACGTCATAAATAAAAATTCAACTAACTAAAATTAAACAATGAAGCGTTTTGATATGTTCATTTTCATTTTTGTTCTCCAGTTTGTATTTATTACCTGTCTTACTGATAAATATGAGAATTTTTTCCAATCACAAGACTGGTAGTTTAGAAAGTAATAAATAAATAATTATTTTATTTGAGCCTACAATAAAAGTACTATTCATAATTACTGCAATTAAGTGTAATTTTTATCAAGTTTATTTTTTTGAATCTTGAAAAATTCATTTTGTAAAAATAAAAATTAAGTTTAAATGACATTAAATAGTATTAATTTGTTTGTTTCACATACACTTGTCATAGGGTATTCACAGTAAATTTAATTCAGCTGATGTGAATGTGAGTTTTGAGGAAATGGGATTTTGTAAATATTTCATTATAAACCAATACAACAGGCTAATTGCCACTAATGGTTAATTTTTCTAACAATCTATATTTAACGAAACAATTTTCATTATATATATCTATTTATAATTTATATATATATATATATATATATATATATATATATATATATATATATATATATAAATTATAAATAGATATATATAATGAAAATTGTTTCGTTAAATATAGATTGTTAGAAAAATAGATTGTTATATATATATATATATATATATATATAACTTTACCTCAGAATATTTTATACCGCTTCACTTATTTATTAATTAGTATGTTGTTATTGTGGTAAGAACCATTTTGATAGAATAATGGAAATAGAATGAAATAATTATGATTTTATGATATATATATATATATATATATATATATATATATATATATATATATATATATATATATATATATATATATATATATATATATATTAATATGTTATTTTATTGTTGTTGAATTTATTGTTTTCGGAAGATGTAACTCTTGCATATTATATATTTTTCAAAACTTTTTTCAAATCTATTTTGCAATAGCTTTTTCATATAATGGACAACATGAGCTAACTTTCACCTTTATCATATTTTGTTTTGATAACAATAATTATTTCCCTGATACTTGCCCCTATGCTGCTTCACTACCCCCTCTTAAAAGTGTAGTTTGGTGGGGATAAGAAACATAGGTTGACTTCCTGGTCATTTTCTAGAAGCTTAAGAACATGAAAGCTCTTCCCTTTACCACCTCTTCTATCCAGGTCTGTCTTATTTCCTTTAAAATCCTTTTTTAAATTTGTTTTATTTCTGTAATATTTAAAGGCATCTTATAATAGAAATATTGACTCAATCATATCAATGGAAGTTTTTTAAAAATGTTACTATACATTATATTTTTATATTTTTGTTAGTAAGCCATTAAAATTTTGTTGAATAAATTAAAAAAAAACATTAATACTAATTGGAATTTATTATTTTCCTTAATGGGTTTCTAACTATAGATATTCTTTTTAATTACTTGTTTTTGTGTTTGATAAATGGTATCCTTTTATTCCTTTACATGAAAGTGCTATGGTTTTCAGTTATTTGTTTAACAGTTAATCTCATACTCTTTCAATGACTAATATGAACAACTAAGAATTTGCAAGTTCATGTACATTTAGATGAATTTCTTAAAGCTTTCTCTTCTCGTACATTATTATGGATAATTATTTCATTAATTATAATGAATAACTATGGTTGTCATTAATATTTATTTCCTTTTTTATTTCAGACTATAGAGAAATGTTTTGAAGAATTCAACCATAATGAAGTTTTCATATCATTTAATGGTGGTAAAGACTGTACCGCTCTTCTTCATTTAGTTCACACTGTGATGATAAAGAAATATGGGCAAAAAGCATACCCATCTTTGACTGGAGTATATTTCAAGCCCCAATATGCTTTCAAAGAAATAGAAGACTTTATTCATCTAAGTGCCTGCAGGTTAGAATTAAATTAAAGTTATTTTGAATGATGAAATCCAGTTTAGAATTATGTATGTTTGCTTGTGTAAATATAATATAATTTATTTGTATTGTTTATCCTGCATAGAAGTGAAGTTGTTATATTATAACATTTGTTTGTCATTTGTTTTTGCTTAAAGGTATAAAACCCTCAGATTATCAACGCCTATGGTTTCTATTATCCATTATCTTATTCAAAATATGAATATCTATATTTTTTCATGTAGTAAGTTTTAATTACTTTAGTTTGCATTTGAATTCTCATTGAAGTAGGATAAATTTTAAAACAAAAATCATTAAGATCAAAACCTTTATCTTACTTATGATTCATTAATCTTATAAATGGTATTGATTTTATTTTAAAACAATTAAGTACCGATTGCATGTCCAATTTTGCAACATTGAAATTTATCTGTGGTTGTTGAAATATAATTAAAAACATGTCACATCACTTGATGGTTCCCTCATATGTTTTATTTAAATTTATTTTAGCCCAAACTCATTTCTTATTTTGAAGAATAGATCTTTTCATATCTTATTGAAAAATGTCGGTCGACTGTTCTACATATCACGGGTGATAAATAGTCAGTACACAGTCATTTTAAGATTTTTATTGTTGCCAAGCATGTGGCTCACTATCAGTGCTTGGAAACATGCCCTGATGATGACCCACATGCTTAGGTTGAAACGTCAGCAACAATAAAAATCTTAAAATTACTGTGTCCTAATTATTTATCACCCTTTTCATATCTTGTGTAGACATTATTTCATAACTCAAAGATAGTGTCACATTGAAGAAATATGTACAGATGTCATTAGGTTTCTTTTTTGGACCTATATCAGTTTTTTTTTATTATTATATCAACTTTAAATCCTAGAGCGCTTTAGCAATGCCTTTGGTTCTTGAGACATAGAAAATAGACCTCCACTACTTTGCTGGTGTGTTCCTTACGGTAACAAATGCTAGTCTTAATTGGTTTCGAAAAAATAGGTCCCTAAAGAACAATATTCTTATCAACTTGCCTGATTAATTTCTTTAGTGGGTAAACACAAGATGGTTAAGTTTTACTCATTAACAAAAACTGGGCTTCTCATTCTTTTTATTGACAACCTCTATTCCATTGTGTCTTGTGAATCATTTAGTGAGGTTTCATTTGTTATCAGTCTTCCAAAGTCCTTAACCTGGGCCCTTACCTTGGTTTGTATATTTTCTTACTTAGCAATTTATTTATTGGGGATTCCACTTTCTTCCCTCTTAATTGTACATGCTACACATCAGAGCTGACATTGGGACTTCACTGTACAGAACTTATGTTTTCTAGTTTGATTAACACCTCCACTCTCTATGTTGACTGAGTATGTTTCTTATAGTGGTAGAATCTTTCAGTAATCATAAAATTAACTTTTAGGTACAACATTAATTTGATTACTAGAGATGGCCCTATTAGGCAAAGTCTCAAAGAATTAGTAAAAGAGGAAGGAAGAGGTTGGAAAGCATGTTTAATGGGTGTTAGGCGAAATGACCCTAACTGCAAAAACTTAAATTATATGCAGGTATAGTATCTATTATATGCATATTTTAATCTAATCATATACTAGCAAATAATATCCAGTAATTTAGTATTTAGTTCCAATTAAGTTGTTAGACTTATAGATCAACACTACGCGTTATAGTGTTGGTTCATGTAGAGAAAAATGTCCCCTCTGAATTTCGTGAAATTGACCATGCAAAAATGATGTTTAAGTAAAAATCTATAGTCTTCATAATAATCAAAAATGTCTCTGTTGTATAACTTCTTTTTTACAAGGAGGTGGTTACATTCTCAACATTTTTATAGCAGTGATGTTCTAAATACATGGATGAAGTAACTAAAAGCACACAGAAGTTTGTAGAAAGTTAATAGTTCATAATCTGATTAAAATTTGATTTTTCTGAGTATTTTTTATTTTATTAATATAAGTATAATTTAACAATTTTATGTTTTAACATTAACGAGATGGAAACAAACATTTATTCATTGAGACTTTAATAATAAGTTTAAGAAAGTTAACCTTTGTTATTTTTGTTTTTTTATAGAATATTTATATGTATTGAAAAATATTATTTAAACATTTATGCATTATTTAGTCACCAACATTAAAAATCAAGTAAAATTTAAAAAAATAATTATATTTGGATTACAACGTTTAAATAATTAAAAATAAATAATTGTTACAACAGTTCTAGAAAGGACTTTTTCATCACTTAACACTTTGACAGTACATTATGTTAAATTTAAACTATTACCCAGTTTGACTTGATATTAGCAGAATATCTAAATTTGGTTGTTATCAAAGCATTTGTTTTATTATAATAATGACGTTCACTTAAATAAAATAAACAAGTTTAATTGATTTTCTATGTTTAGATAGCACTTTGTTTGCTTTTTTATTTATTTTTTCAAAAACCTTGGAGAAGATTAACAATATAATAAAAATCATTATTTCCTTGATATTAAGGGATATTTTTTTAGAAATGTTCTTTGTTATAAAGTAACAATGGTTGGCTTCTGTTTAAAGCTTACAATTTATTTATCAATGATCTTGCTTATCTAATCAGATAAGACTAGGTTTTTATTCTGCTAATGATAATGTAAATTATACTCTTATCACTAAGCAATTGATCATTTATGATGTCATTGAATAATTCCAATCATCACATGACAAAGGAAAGATATTAATTTTTACTTTATGGACTTTTATTTTACCTATGTTAAAAGTATATAAAAATTAGGTTTGGAGGAAATTTGATTCTTGGTAGATTTTGGTCGCCAATCACAAATTAAAACTATCTTAGGTACTTTAAAATTAATAATTATGTGAACTTTATCTTTCTTTTCTATTTATTTTCATCATTTACATATATATGAACAATTTGAGGTTTTATTTGCCCTATTTATGAATGAAATGATCTAAAAAACATCTTTGTTCAGTGTATAATATTTCATAATTAAATCAGATCTACCATTTATAATAAGTAATTTCTATATTTTTCACCCAATACTTTCTATCTTTTGATACTTTATATTTAATGTTGTTTCTTCCTACTTACAGTTTTCTATTTTATTTTCAATTTTTTTAAATAAATGCTTTGTCATTTTTATCAAAATTTATTGTACCATTCAGGCTAAGAAATGCTTCACCTCTTAAAAAACTTATTTTTCATTTACATCAAGTGAAACTTCATTAGGGACCTCAGCTCTCCATCCCAAAATGATTATTATATTTTTTAATCAAATTAAGAAAATCAATATACAAATGCATGAAACATAAATGAATTGCTGATTTTTGAAAAAGTATTCTTAAAAACTTTTGGATAATAAAAAAAAAAATATAATGATTCGATTCCTTCTCAAAACTAAAATGGAAGGAAATTTTTTATCATTGTGCAATTATTTCTCCCTCAGGAAGTTAAATCCTGTGTGTGAGCCTGGTTTGTTGCATGGTACCAGTATATTTTGATAGGTGCCCACATCTTCCCAACTTGGTCGTAATGCATCTTCGCATTTGTTAAATAACTTAAAACACACATTTGAGAAATATACGATTGTCCAAGACACTTATACAGATTACCAAAAACTCCTGTTTTCTAACTTGTATTCATTAACACTGATTAAGTCCCATGAACGAATTGAAAAGATGTCTGGAGGAAGCTGGTGGAGGAGACTAAGACTCGTCATCATTTATACCACTGATATAGATAGATAGAAGTCCCATAAAAAACTGATAAATATGGAATTAATACCAAAATTATTGAATTTATGGATTTATTGAGGCACTAGACATGGTAAACATAATATTTTTTAAAAACTTGTCCTAGTTGACAATACTAATGTTTCAATTGTAACATAACCTTTCACATCCTAATTCCATTCTGTGGACAATTTATGCTGTACAAGAGAGTAGTTTTGATAATTAGCTTCTCAGTATTATTTATTTTTTGTACCAGAACTTAACTTCTCTGCTGCCCTTTAACCTTATTTATTAAACAAATAAATTTTTATTTTATTTTTGTTAAATTTTTCATTTATCAAACATATTTTAGGAAACTGATGAAGGCTGGCCCCATCTTGTGAGAGTATCTCCAATTCTTGATTGGACATTTCAAGATGTTTGGACTTACTTAAAAGAGTTGCATGTCCCTTATTGTCCACTTTATGATAGGGGGTAAGAGTTCCAATTATTTTTAAAGTTTAATATTTTTAAAATTAAAAACTGTTTCTTTTACTATTATTAAACAAATGTCCCCTAATTTATTGGAATACAGCTTGGAACAGTCAGAGGTATTGATTATAACACACATTTTCGTTATTTAGTGTAATTAGTCTCTTAATGATATTGTTCATATAAAACTATCTATATTGCATGCTAAAGTTACCAAGTAGAAAAAAAATTACTAATCCAGATTTGTTTTTATTTATCATTTTGTAGGTATGAAACAATTATTAGTAGAACTTCTAATTTTGTTAATGTATTTCACTTATCTCTTCATTTCAGTCATGAAACAATTAGACTAATTATTTCCATTGATTGGAGGCATAGATTACTTTGAGTAATAAGCAAGGTCTGTTTAAGTGATAATTTGCTGTTCTGATTTTCATTTTCTTGTGACATTCCAGGAATGTGAGTTTCTTGTATCGGTTTGTCAATGTTCTATTGAGTGTAAAAATGAATTTAAAAGTTCCAAAATGGGTTCCTGACCTTGAAATAAGGTTTTGTTCTATTTTCACTTTGATTTCTTTCATATTATGTTGTGTGTCGTTAACTGTTTTTCTAGAACCATTGTTGGAATCACTGTTTGCTAAATACTATTCTGTTACTTGTATCGTAAATGACATTCGAACATTATATGGCTTACAATGTGACTGGTCTTCATGTTGGAAGAGTTGCACTAATCCTGATAATGAATGTACTCAAATTGAAGCTCTGTTTGCCCATAATAATGACTCAAGGTTCTCAGTGTTACCTTTGAAAGCTAGTATTCATGGTTGCGGTTTCGAAGTTGACTGTAAGAAGTTTTTTGATACGTTGAAAATTAATAGTACTTTTGACTGTTATCTTGTTGATGGAAAAGATGTATTGATTCCAAAAATTATTATTCCCAAACGTTCTGTTAAATACGTTTATTTATCAATAATACCATTTTTAGCCCTCATAATTGGTATTATTTACACAGTAACACAAAAAATTTTTGAAAGAGGAAAGAAAAAAAAAGAATGTAAGAAGGCTAAGAAAATGGATGGGCCAACTTCTTTTTACCAGAAAAAAATGATGGAATTGGAGAAGCTTAAGAGGGCAAGGGAAGAAAGAGAGAGGATTGCTCGATATTCTGATAATGTGAAAGTCGAAGAGCTGGAAACTGTAACTGCTCTCGTTTTCAAACCAAGCTCTTCCTGGATGATTCCTATGGTTGATCCATAATATTGAACATTTATTTTAACTTATTATGTCCTTATTTGTAAACATAGTTAATTTTATCATCACTAAAAGAAGCTTATGGATATTAAATAAGGTTGGTTGGGTGTATTTTAAATTTTATTTCTTATTATAATAATTTATTATTTAAAATTAAGAAAAAAATAACTTCTTTTCATAAACAATTAAAATTATCTAATACTTTTTTTTTTGTTTTAAGCTAAAATCTCCTTCATTAAAAAAAAAAAGTTAATTTTGCTGCAATGGAATGGAAATTAGATTTATATAGTTTTTATTTTTTTATAAACTCTTTTTTATGTCTTATAGTACAGATTGTGCCTGAATCAATCATGAAATATGAAATTTATCAGTGTTCAAATTGATTCTCAAATTATTATATTCAATTATGATAATGTTAAGATATTATTGTTTTATTAATTAAATATAATGAATGAATTTTATATTAGGTGGCCCAGTGAATAATACATTTTTAATTTGTTACGCTCATCCAGGCTTTAGAAACTCTTTTAGGTCTCTCAAAATCTCTGCAAAATGAGTACCTAATCCTTCAGTATTGGGGCGAAACCCGGTGGTCGATTGTGGTGTTTAATTCCTTGTGTATTACTATTATATTTGAGGAATAGTTAACTCTTTGTTACCTCAATCTTTCTGGCTACCCAAAGATACCAAAAAAATTACCGTAAAACTGTAGGTTTTAAAAGCTTTATAATTAAAATGAATTAATCCAGCATTTGTTATCATCCTCTTAACACCAATTGCCAGTAGAGACTTCAGTAAGCAATGACCTGTTTTCTCAACTTGTTCTTAGTTCAATTGAGGCCAAATTTTCTATTCTTTGAGTTTTATATAAATTTGTGTCATTTGAAATAAACTTAATTTATTTTATCCAGGGATCACAGCTTTTATTTTTTTTAGTTCACTGGATTCTCTTTCTCCACTCAGTCAGCTTTCTGTTTTCGAATCCTCCTCTTTTCCATAGGTGTGTGTTTAGGAATCTTAATTAGAATACGATTTTCTCCTGTTATTTTTAGATGTCCTGCCCAGCCAAGTCTGTTCAAATCATCGTCTCTGAATTCATCAAATATGGTGGAACAGAACTATTGAAAGCATTGCAGTGCCTTTTTCAGTTAATTACTGAAAAAACTATCTCTTAAGGAATGGGAACACAACATAATTCTTCCAATACACAAAAAAGGCAATGCAAACTATAGACCTATCTTTCTATCCCAGGTTGTATTCAAGCTCTATACGTCAATATTAGAAGAGAGCTAGTTGAGAACGACTTTTGCATGTGAAGAGGAACAGGCTGCTTTTGTGCCTCAATGCCAGACCCAAGATCATATATTTTCTCTCAGAACAATCATTGATAAATCGTGGGAACGAGGAAAGAGTGTCTTCTTGGCATTTATAGATCTAAAGGCTGCCTTTGATTTGGTTCCTAGACAAGAACTGTGGAATGCTCTTTCTGGAAAAAACATTCCACAAGGATTGATAGAAGCTATGAAGTCGACTTATCACGATTCCAAAGGAATAATAAGAATTAATGGAAGATATTCCGATACCTTTGTGATTGAGAAAGGAGTTAAGCAAGGGGATAGTTTGAGCCCCCTCCTGTTCATCATTTACATGGATGAAATCCTAAAAATATGCAAATGGAGGACAGCCCTCACTACTATTGACAAATGGAATATGAGAACAATCCTGGCTCAGGTAATATTATTTGCGGATGACATTGTCCTTGTAGCAGATACTAAAGAGAACTTACAACAAGCTGTTACTGAATGGGAAGCTAAGTTGGAAAGAAAGGGAATGACCATCAATGCCAGGAAAAGCAAAATAATGCATATAGGCCGGGATCAGGAATACATTGAAATACTTTGCAAAGGTGAACCACTAGAAATAGTGGTCGAATACACTTACCTAGGAACAGTGATCGCAGGAATGGAAAGGTAGACCAAGAAATATCCAATAGGATAAAGAAGATAAATTCAATATACTACCAAATCTGCAACACAGTTATAGGGAAGAAGGAGGTAGAGAAGAGAGAGCAACACTTTATTTTCATAAAATATAAAAGATTGTTGCCCAATTATATTGGGTTGCTATATACACAGCATACTCTTCTATCCTTAAGACAATAAATGAACTTATATATAAATTACATATCTTCAAGGCTATATTCCTACCTACCCTCCTTTACGGAAGTGAAAGCTGGACACCCCTAGATAAACACCTAAGTAGAAATACTGCAATATTCGGAGAGTTACAGGCCAAACTAGGAGAGATCGCATACAGAATGAGAGGACATGAGAGGATGTTGGAGTTGTCCCTTAAAAGGATACCGTTGGAAAGAGACAACTCAGATAGTCGGACATCTCTGTCGAATTAGTGAAGATAGGGACCCAAGAAAATATTTTGAGGCAGACCAACAGGAAAATGTCCAAGAAGGAGACCGAGACTACAATGGAAAGACTACATCTCCAAAGTGGGAGAGAGAAGGGGGAAAAAACTGGGACGCCATGAGGGTGCTGGGTTGGGATTGAGAAGCTTGGTTTGCCTGGACAGAGGTACCTCCACGCTGAAAGGCACTAAGGAGGAAGAGATAGAAGAAGAAGAAGACAAGATCTTTGTTTTAGCTCCTATTCACCCACCACCTGAATTCTTTTTTTCTTAATTGCTATTATGTTGTGTAAGGGCACTCAAATAGACAACATTCTGTACTTCTTTCAATAAGTAGTTTCCTTTTTGGATGGTGCAGACATTTTTGGTTGTTTCCAACAGATATATATTTTAGTTTTGTGGGTATTAAGACTCAAGGGCTGTAATTACTCTTCCTTCAAGGAAGTTACCTAAAGGTCTATGGGCCAAATTCGGATCACTTTTTCCAGGGCCAGCTGTTTTAGCTGATTTTCCTTTTTCTGACTTATGTGAATGCACCTTAATGCTGCAGTTCAATCAAGACATATTAAAGTATGTTTTGTAAAATGTTTGTTTATTTTTTTAAAAAGTCAATGATTTTTATTACTCAATGCAAGTCAAAGAATATGTATGGACTGCATGTAAATAAATATGATTTTAGGTACACATCACTTGGTAATGCACGGAATACTAAGCCAAATCCTGCTCTTGAATATGTAGATGAAGATGGACGAATCTGCTACAAACCAGCTTACATGCTTAGAGAAGAAGAAATGGAACGGCGGGGTCGCATGCAAGAACAAGTTTGTTCATAACTTATAGATTTTATGAGCATGTTTCTTATTAAAACTGATGTTTTTTATTTTTGGAATTTTTTAAAATTGTGGTAAAAAAACACTGTTAAGGTGTATGTACTAGTATGATGTGCCTATTGTTAACTTCTATTATTAGGCATGTATTTTTTAAGGTTTTAGTTTATTAACATTTTTTTTGTAGTGTTTGGTTGTACAGTACTAATTTATTATATAAATTTTAAAAGATTAAATCTATTTCTTCCTTTTTTAAAATAATAATCATCCTTTTTTATCTTTCCTTACCTTCTTTTGGCTAGTTAGTTGTTGTATACCTACAATCATTTTAGAAATAGTATTGATCTACTAAATAGGTTAGTTATAAAGATATCTTAAACTCATTATTTATTTCTATTTAGCATAATTTGGTAACGAAAACGTTCTTTATTTTGTTCTTTAACTATAATAACATGTCTAATTTTGTCTTGCTTGCTACATTATTTTTGAGAATCTAAAACATAAATTCTGTAGATAACGCATATCATTTGCAGAAGTGAACAGCTATACTAATCTTTTTATTAAACGTAAACTTTTTAATTATTTAAACAAAATAATACTTCAGAGAAATCAGTGAACAACTTTTTTCCTCTTTGTGGCATGTTACTACAAATACTACGAAGATTCAAATAGAAATTAAATATTATGTTTGAGTTTATGATAGGAGTGCCTCGTTGAATAATAAAAGCACTGGACTCCTTTGTACTGAACCCATATTCAAGTTTAGCTACATAACAAAATTCAAGTCATCTCTAACTTAATGTGAATTTAAAATCTATAAAATGCTTTGCAAAATTAACAAATTTTGTTGATTGCTTAGATAGCATCTCACCATGGGAATGGGAATGAAAATTAGCTTATAAGATCTCATGTGATCATGATGTGGGGCTGTATGAGTTCTATGAACATTGTAGAAATAGTGTTCCTGGCATCTGGTTTATGTTGTAAGTAGGTCCTTGGTGAAAGTTACTGTAATTTATTTTAATATTGTATTAAAATTCTATTTTCTACAATATTTTTGACTGAATTCTTTGGAAACTTAATTTTTTTTTTTACTTGTCATGGCAAGTCCTATTTTGCAATGTTGAAGTTTAGGATTACATAGCCCAGTAAGCTTGTTATGAAAAGGGGAGTCTAGGTTGTATCGAATGAGAGTAGAAGATTTCTTTTTTTTTATTATATGGGATGTGACTGAGATACAGAATCCAAGTTTTCGACCTTGGCGTCCCCCTCCTCTCCCGCATCACTTTTTAAAACTCCCAAAACTGCTATATTTTTGGACTTTTTTCGCTGTTTTTTTTTTCTAATTTTGACCATGAAAGAACATGTTTTTGACAAAAAAACATTCTATACAGCTTTAAAGTAAATTTAATATGCTACAATTTAACACCAAATCAGTAAATCAAATAGTTTACGAGATACAGATTTTCAAATATTAGAAAATTTTCTAACTTGAAAATTTTAAGCTATTTTTCCTGTTTAATCATATGCACTCGTCTTTATACCTTCAATATCCTGTCTTATACGATTCAGTGAAGTTAATTTTTATTAATTTTAACATTTTGTGACACATACTTCATTAAGATTCTCAACATCTCTCTACAAATTGACTATAATGAGATATTACTCAGAAGGTAAAGATCTTACAAGGAAACACAACAAAATTCAACGGTTTCACTGCGTGAATAATAAATAATTAAAAAAAGTAATTCTCATGGTTCAGATGTAGAAAGTGAAAAAAGTAATTTAGTTTAAATGACTGAAAAAAGTGATTTTACTGGTATTTTTTATTGCCAATGCCAATTATTTTTTAAATTTTGTTGATGCTTTATTATACTCTGACAATCCAGCTTTTAAAAAAGACCAATCCCCACATATATTATTACAGTAAGGCTCGAAATCGGTTTTGTACCAAATATAAGCTCCTGTCGTGCTCAAATACCATGAATGGGGTACCATTGGATTCAGAATTTCATGGGGGGTTAGTGAATCGTATTCTCCGCCTTTGTTTTTCTTTCTAAAATAAATAAAGTCGATACAAACATTTTGCTAGGCTTCAACACTGGAACGGTGGTAGGTCCGTAGATCAATACGGGATAAATTGGATCTTGAAGATTTTGATGTGTACAGCAAGATCCAGATAGTTCCCTCGAAACTATCGGATCCTGCGTTTTTAAGCCAAAAAACGTACTATTTTCGAGATAACGCAAGGCATGGGGTTCGCATCCACACAACCTGACGTTAATTATAGTACTGTCATTGGATACATGTCTCATTTCGTCGACTTGAAGTCTCTATGATCGAGAAAGGAGGAGTTTATATTATTTATCGATGGTGTTTTTGATCAGCAAGCCATATCATCGTTAATTCTTCACCAAATCTCAAGATTGAGCCACCAATTTCGAAGGCTTCCTTCTCCTTCAGGTGGACGAAATAGCCTAATCAACAAGTTATAAAAGAAAAGAAACTTTATTTGCGAATAACTAAAAAATTACATACTTTTTCCTCGGTTATTCCCACGATTATATAAAACATTACTAAATTGTCTACAAAAGGAAAAAAAAAAAATCATTGAAATCAGACAATTTTTCGTAAAGATACAGCTTATTGAAATTTTTAAATATGTTGGTTCCAAACAAAAATGAAGATTTAAATTAATTTTGTTTCATTTGTTGATTATATTTATTGATAAAGTAGCAATTGATTCCTTTATCTTTTGATATGTTGAATTATTTTCTTTTCTTATTAATTTGGCATTTGATAACAATATTCTGTGCGAATTTTTCGCACGGGCATACTAGTTATGATTAAATTAAGCCAACTACTAAATCTCAGTGACCGAAAAAATAACTCAAATCAAAGTCACTCAGCCATGTTTCGATGCCATTTTGGGACAGTACGGTCACTTATTTTTGTGAGAACATTGGTTTTTTTATAATAAATACTTACTTTAAACACAACGATATGCAATTTATAGGGATGTGGGGAGGAGAGGGGAAGGTGGACGTTAGAGGGGTCTGACCCACTGTGTATATATTGTACCTTAGGCTCTTCCACCAAATCTTTCCTCTCCTCCATCCCCCCTTCCTCCTTCAAAATATTAAAATTAATAAATATTTACTTTTCTGACTCATATCATCTGATATTAGGTCTGAAGGTTATTAAAGATAAAAGACAATTGCATATGATCAAACATGAAAAATAATTTAAATGGAAAATAAAATTGTCTAAAATTTGAAAACCTGTATCTCGTAAACTATTTGATTTACTTAGCCTGTTCTGGTGTTACATTGTATCATATGTAATCCAGTTTAAAAATGTATAGAATGTTTTTTGTCGAAAACTTGTTCCATCATGGAGAAAACCCATTTTGCATCTCAGTCATATCCCATACAAGAAAATAAAAAGAAACCTTCTACCTCCATTCAATGCAACTTAACACATTACAGACGGGGGATCTTGACGAAAGTATGCTAGTCGAGATAAATCGTAGTACCACGACTCCTGCCCTTAAGCAGCAGTCGAGATAAATCGTAGTACTACGACTCCCGCCTTTAATATGTTAAGATGTACAAGGTCACTGGACGATAGAGTAAAAAATTTACTTTCTAACCTATCGCTGAGGATTGATTCTTGAATCAGGAGATCATCACTCAATGAGTTGTGGAATAAACCTGATAGATGAGCTTTAATCCTAATCAAATCTCTAGTTTGGTTTTTATTTAATATTATAGTTCTATGGAGTTAGCCCCTTGTATTGCATCTATTGAACTATCAGTGACACAAGTAAATTATAAAGATTTTACTAGAATTAATAAATCTAGAATTAAATCCCATTGTAATATATCCTTGCAATATATTATAAGTTTTATATATTTATAATATATAACCTTCAGTTAAGGCGATTTAATTAAGTTTAGTTGTAAGTATTTTCAATTTGTCGAATTATAAAAAATATGTTTTTTTTTTAATCCCCCATTTTTTCAACTTTTCTGGCTTCATTTGAAGATAATTATTGCTGTATGATGAATGATGCACGAGCCTGATTCCCTCTACCACTTTTTGTATGTGTTAGATACATTTATACCACACAAATTCATTCATTCAATTCTTCATCATATTCATAATTGGTAATTGGTTGACTGTCGTGGATAATGAAGAGAAGAATAGTTGGGGTGCTCAGTCAAAAAGGAAGGCAAAAAATAATTTTACTTTATATCTATCTATTTTATTTTTCTAATAATTTTTTTATTTTTTTTATTTTCTCATTTTTTATTATCTTTTTTACCATCATTACTTATGTTTCTTATACCTTGTTATCTGGTTATTTTCTTAGCCCTGATGAAGGCCTGAACTTCAGGTCGAAACGTCGGCATATGTAAGAAATAAATATTATAATTTATTTTTTGCCTTCCTTTTTGACTGAGCACCCCAACTATTCTTCTCTTCATCTTCATCATATTCTTACATTCACTGCAAACTTTTAAGACTTCAGTAACTTGACTTTTGAATTACCAGGAGGTTATGGAATATTCAGTTCTTTAATTATGGATGACAGTATCAGTGTAAAACATTATTTTTAAAAAAAATATTTATTTATTAATTATTAGTAATTTATTCTTCTTCTCTTCTATACTACACTCTTAAGCAGTAATGCTTCATGTACTTTATTTTTTGTTTGATATAGAAAATTGTTAATGATCTATTTTACTCTTATTCTGGTTTCCTAGATTTTTCTTTCTTTATGCTTAAAAGGTGCTTTGTGTATGCTTTAGTGGTTTAAATTAATTACTGGCTCTTTCAGACTTTTTAGACTTCTTCAGTACTTCTATAATTTTCATTGATTATCTTTAGTGAATAAGAAATTTAAATACACATATAATAAATAAAAATTCTTTGCTATTTTATTTTATTAAATATTGAATTATTATAGATGAGATTTTAATTATTATATAAATATGATTATATTTATATCTTCTACAGGAAGTTACTCCTCTCTGACAAACCTCTGGAAGAATTCAGAAGAAAAGTAGAAGAAATTAGTAATCTGTTAAGCACAATGATTGCTCCATCTGGGCGCTGTATAGCAATTAATAATTCAGGAAGCATTATAATCACTAAATCTGGTATTGAAATCATTGATCTCTTCAAACAAAAGGGTTGCCCAGAAAGAGATTTTGTCATTGGTTGCATGGAAAACCTTTATAGAGACTTCGGTGATGGAAGTAAAACATTTATTGTACTATTAGAAGCACTGTTATTTCATTCTGAACATTATTCTAGAGATTATCTTATCAAGCACTTTTCAATTTTTCTTAATATATATAATAGTATTCCCAAAATTGAAAATACTAGCATTGATTACTGCAAAATTGTCGATACATTTTTTTCTACTAGATTTCCATTGCATGTAAGTTGTGTTTTGTCAGCCCTATTAAAAGATTGGATTGGAAAAAACAAATCTTTTGAGCGAAATTTTTTCAAAAACATATTGAATCATTTCGATGCACTTGTCTCTGTTGAAAAAACAAGTTCTCCCCTCAATGAATCGAAAGTAATCAAAGGTTTGTCTATTAATGGACAGTTTCATGGAAAATTTCCAAATCATGATAACAATTTGAAATTAATAATTATCTATTTTTCTGAAGAAAATGAAAGGGATATAGATGATATTAATAGTGTTGCGATGGAAGTCGCACTAGTTCTTGAGAAACTTGATTATGTGAATTTGTTGATTATTACAAACTGCACTCTCCCACCTTCTTCTTTGCAAAGGTTAAATAAATATCACGTACTCACAAATGTAGCAACTGAGTCAGTACATCTACTTAATGATTATGTTATGACCAATAATTATAATAAGTTTGAAAATCCTCCAGAGGTAAAAGTTTTTAATGTATGTAATTCTTTCAGAACTAATTTTATTGTAGAAGTTCCCTTTGGTCACTTAATTCTATATGCCCCAAGTAAAACATTTTCAGATTCTTATATAAAATCTTTAAAGAACTGTTTGAAACTTTGCAGTGAAATGTTAATAAATAATTCTCTGCTTGTTGATTGTGGAAAATTTGAAAAGTTATTTAGACGTCATTTGATTGGTATATATAAGAAAACCACAAATGTTTTTACTGAAGAACTTCTGGATCTCGAATGTAGCAATTATTTAAACTTAGGGATAGAAGAATTATGTTTATGTGACAAGAACTTAAATAATTCAGAATCTGAAGTTATACAACTTATTGAATATATAGAACCAAAATTACTAAAACTGGATAGTGGTACTATTTTAATTGTCATTAGAATGTTAAATTCTTATATTTCAAAAATTGTTCCTAATGGGATTGTAGGAATTGAACCTTTAAATTTAAAAATCGAAATACTCAACAGAGTTTTCATTGCATACTTAAATATATTAAATATTGATCTAGTATTAAAAACTGAATCAATGTAAATATTTTTAATTTATTTGTATTTTTTTAAATATAATTTTTAAGATAATTATAATGAACACTTACATTTCTTAATGTAAGTTGCACCTTTTAAATCTGTGATTGGATTGGAATCTCACCAAAACTGTACTTATTGAAATGTTATGTAAATAAACCTATTTATTACAAAAATGTAATAATTTAATATAATCTGTTTACAATTAACTTGAGTGCTGATTTTGATTTTATTTATTGCTTTCCTCAATATAAACTTGTCTCCTAAATATATATATATATTTTTTTTATTTCTTAATGACATTTACAACTGTATTAAATAAATACATCTAGTAAATTTGGACATAATAGACATATTGACATGAATACACTTGCTGAGTGACTACCCAATGGTAGCACTCAATGATATGACTACATTAGGAGATCACAGGGCCATCTTCATTTCAGACGCCTCGCCTTGGAGGGTTATCAGGAATTGAAGAGGAAGCAAGGTTAGAAACGAGAGGGTTGGTATGATTCTGATGTTTATTATGAAAGGATATGTATGTCTCCTAAATATAAATGCACTAAAACTACTGTCAATCGTAAAAATAGATGCTATTAATAATAATAATTTTGAATGCTCACCCTATTATAACTAACCATCCAATGAAGATTATGACATTTAACTACATACTTGAAAATTAAACAATTTGCATTCATTTAGGCTCAACAAAATACAAACTAAACAGATGAAACAAGCTAAACAACACCAAATGCAAATAGTCATAACACAATATTCTAATCTAGTGAACAAATATTATAAATGGGAATGACATTTTACATACCATAAAGAACAATTTATCACTAAAAAGAAAACTACCCTACCTATTTTTTTTAATATATTAGTATTAAAAATGACTAAATGAAACTTCCACTTCAATACATGAAGGGTCTTGGATGTAGTACTTTATGAGGAAATATTTTTTCAAAATCAATGGTTGTACAAGGAGGTGATTTTGCCATGATCTCCATAAGAGAGGTTATAAATATATAAATGAATACTTTCATTTAAATTGGAAAGTTGTAGTGTTATTGAGTCATTATTTGATTATACAGTATTATTTGACTAGAGCTTTGTGGGATCTTGCAATTTTATATTGAAATTCTGTTGGAATCTATTCATTTTGGCATTCATAAAATGTAAAATATATGCATTAAAAACAGTTCTTGATGATGAATGTTTTTTATTACAGTTCTAAAGTTTTTTGATAATTTACTAAATAAATTCTTACTTCATTGGTATTTAAAAAGATTTCCTCCAAAAGCAAAATATTGTATAATTAAATTGGAAAGGGTAACAAATAATTTATCGAGTTTAAATAAACCTTATTATTAATACATTGAAAAGAGTTTAAGCTGTTCCTGAATGAAAAGTAATTAGTCTTATTTTGAAAAGTTTGTTTTAACAGTATTTAAAAATTTATATACATCCATGGAAATTTAATAAAAATGTTTATCCCTCAAACTAGCTGTTGTAAAGGCTCATGCACACATAACAGGATATGTTGCAGCATAGACCCATACTTTCCCTTTTGATTGGGAGGTCGGAAAAAAAAAATGTGGTGGTAGTAGAAAAAAAGTGGTATTTTTTCCCATCCTTCCCTAAGTCAACAGCACAAGAATCTATTCCCTCCTTTCTCTTCCCCCCCCCAAGATATTTTATTACATTGCTCACCTTATCTTAAAAACAGAACGAGGGAAGGCAGAATTAGAAAAATCGTAGATCATACACAATTATACTTGCTGCAGTCTGTTCCGTTTTTCTCCTTGTTTCTCAGTTGAAAATTTTCATCCAGAAAATTAATAACCCCACCGAAATATGGCCCTTCAAAAATTTTGATGGCGCAACTTGCGCCGTCAAATACCTTTTTGTACACCCCTGCTAGTATACTCGAATATCATTAATGGTATAATGCCTTATATTCATATATATATATATATATATATATATATATATATATATATATATGTATATATAGAACGCGAAAATCTATTTAATTTTTGGCATAGCTTAGCCCATTGTTCGAACTGAGCAGTTTGCGTCTGTCAGAACAATGACTTTTTGGTTTATGTCCTCGTATGCACAAATGAAGTAACCACCGAAGACAACAATACAAAAGACTTAAGGCTCATGCCCACAGAACGCGACTTGTGTTGGTGTTCAACGAACCCTTTGTATCACGGACAGATCTATGGGTTGAGGGGAGGGGCTTTCGGGCTGAATCCCCCTCCCCTCAAAATGGTAAAATATAACCATATTTTATCGAAAAAAATAATAAAAAATTATCTCTTCAAGTATTATCGTTCGTGTAATTACATTTAAAAGGGTTTTAGGAATCACTTAAACGCCATTTCATATAGGTAGTTAGTTTCTTTCTTTTTTTCCAAAGTAATTATCGTTAGTTTTATGAAAAAAAAGCTTTCAGGCTGAAGCCCCCTCAAAATTAAATCCTGGATACGATAGTGCTTTGTATCGCTACGAATTATCACTGTGGGTGACAGCGGTAGTGAAATAGAATGTAACACAACTAGATCGCAGACCGCAGCACAGTGGGACGAAAGACGGGTTTTCTTGGACATGAGTTAACGAATCGAACGCAGTGAAGACTTTATAAGTAATGGTTTTATGCTCAATATTACAAATGGCATCTAAAATACAGAGTAATATACTATGAATAATTGGTTGACTACACGAGCTCACTCCAGGTCTCCTACAGTTAAGAGTATGACTTCAAGAATGCAACTGCATGAGGAGCATGGGGTTTATGTACCCAAGAATAGTGAGGGGGTGAAGGAAAGGGTGGGAGAAGTCGGAAGAGGACGGCAAAGGAAGTTATTAACATTTGAACAGTTATTAGAAATTGATTTTGTTGATAAAAGGTGTTATTGTGTCCCGTCAGTACATTCTAGATAACTATTTCTAAGCTATCAGAGATAGCTTGACTTGGCTATCTAGGGCTTTGTGCTTTTATGTGAGAAACTAAAAGATAATACATGATTCACCGATATTTAATAAAATAAAAGTTAAACTAATATTATTATTATTATTATTTGTTACGGATAAGGTCCATTCCGTAACTATGGCATAGAACTCGTAAATGATGTCAGATTAACTTGATATTTTGTAAACTCATGTTTTCAAGGCCAAGGAACACGAATATAACGTTAAAACCAGAAAATTTCCACGAAAAATTATAAACAAGAAAAAATCCCGGTTTCCTTTTTTAAACTAGGGAATTTTTAAATTTGACAACAAATTAACTTCGAAAATGATAGAGACCTCTTAAAACGTATAATTTTAGATACCTATTTATAAATACTGTCTATATTACTACATATAACCGTTATTTTAAACATTTTTTTTTAAATTTTGAATACACAATAACTCACAAAATATAATTATAATATATGTGTATGTAATAACTTAAAAAGTTTTTCATTTATTAATTATAAATATTCATTTCATAGTTCTTATGATTTATTTTTATTACAAAAAAATTAAAAACCATTGATAACGGTATTTTGAACACCATCGGCCACTTCCTCAAATTTTCCGAAGACAAAATATGTATTTTTTACAGATTATATTAACAGCAACTGATGCAATCAAGTCATAAAGGTTCAACCAAATACTCAGATTCAATTTACCGTTATGAAATTATAACAACATTTAAAAAGAATAAGTGTTATAGGTTCAAAACAATTATATTTTTATATTAACAGACAGTAATCTTAGTGGAACAAGTAAATAAAAGTTGTTTTTTTTTCCTTGAGCACGCCTTTAACAGATTTCCATTGAACCCACCTTTTATTTAATTTTAAACTTTAGTTCATTTAACGGTGTTGTGTTGTGTATTTTAGATTAGAGCTAAAATA